GCATTGCCTCCAGCTCAGGCATTGGCTGCCTTTCACACAGCACGGGGAAAAGCTACTTCTCATAGTTTTTGACGATAGTGTCCATCGCCGCTCGAACGTCGCCGGCCAATGAGACACGAATTCGCGCCACCATTCGCACACGAGGTCCCTCCCTCACGGAGCCCACAATAACGCCGAGCTCGTTGTCGGCGTCAAGAAGGTCTGCGCGGTGCTCTGTTGACCCAATGACGTGGCATGAGAGGGCAAAAATGCCCTTTTTGGCGCCCAGCCGAATAAATTCAGTGATGGCTCAAGCAGCACATCCTTCTCCAGCTGCAGAGCCGTACATGTGTTGTCGCCTTGGTGAAGAACGCACGCCGTAGCTGATGGCCACCATGTTCTTGCGTTCCTGAGTAAAGTTGGGGGCGGCAGTGGCACACAATTTTCGGAAGAGTGTGCTTGCGTCCGGCACGTCCAACGCCAAATCGACGTCAAACGCGGCCTAAGCAACCGCAAGTCCGGCATCCCTCAGTGCCTGGGGGCAATTCAACTGCACCGTGTTGCCGTCCACCCGCATTGTCGCGGGAGCTGCGAGAACGGCGTCGTGGTTTGGTGGGAACAGGAACGGCTTTCGCCTCCATTGGAAGAATATCACATTGAATGCTGCGCTGTGCGTTTGTTGCATGCACACACAGGAGGGTCAAAGACAGAAAGAAAGAAAAGAAGAGAGAGAGGGAAACAACACTGAATAATCTTCTGGGCCGCTGACCGGATCCTGAAATCATCTCAAGAAACCAAACAAGAAGGGAAAAGGGGTAATGCAGAGGTAGTTCATTGCCTCAATGTCTTCTTCTGATTAAAAATATATATTCTTTTGACCGTTCGATTGATCTTTTGAACTCAGGTAGGATCAAAAATATTATCACCTACGAAGTGGCAGGCTTTGGGGTCACCCGAACACAAGATCCCGCCGCTCCGCTTCGCAAGTTCCACCCCTTCGCCAAATCCTGAAGTGTAAAACACACGACCGCGTGACATGCCGTCTGCGGGGTTTTCTGCACACCGCACGTAAGCAAAGAATGCCTGTATTCCGCGAGAGTCCAAAAACCCATATATCCGTTGCAGCTCCCACGTCATGGCGTGTGTTTCCGGGCTGCCTTTATTCGCCGCTCCTTGCAGCGAAGTGTTGTCCACCCAAACGTCCATGGTGGATGGCAAAATGGCGGGAAAGGCCGATAAGGCCAAGCGTACCGCACGCACCTCGGCCTGCATGATAAGAAAAGACTTCCTCCTCCACTCCCCTCCGGCAATTTTAGCGTCGATAAAGTCTGGAGTGAAAAAAGCCCCACTTCCATGGAGCGATGCATCCGCGATGCTGGCGGCTGATGCCTTCTCCGTGGGCTTGATGATTCGTTGACGATTATTCTCGATGGTGTGTCGCAACCTCTCGCCCAAACCAACCGCTGCCGGCCGAAGGTTCGCCGGGGATTTCTCCTGCACAATTCCCCGGTTATGTGCGGATAATCGGCGTCGCACTGCCCTGATGAAAGAGTGGTGGTCACATAAACGCATGCCTAAAATGGCCGCCAAATATAAAAAGCGTGACGCCACAACCTCCATTTCCGCGATGGTTAAAGAATTGAGCGACGGCACGGCGCATACAGAGCGGACAGACTTGTCACTCAGGGACACCGCACGGTGTGTGTGATCAAACCGCACCCCCAGGAAGATGTACTACATGGCGCCATATTCGTGGTCCTCCCTCATCGTGGCGCGACGGCCGTCCGCATTACGAAGCACTTGGGATTCCCACAATGTCACATCGCTTTTCGACTCTGCAATGCGTATATTACTGATCCATACGCCGACACGCACCAATGGAGGTGCAGCCCATAGGAAGTGAGCCACCGTCGTCACCACCGCAATTGCCGAGGTAATAACAATCTGGAGAATTTCCGGGCCGGCCTTGTATCCCATAGGGAGCCGTGTCAGCTCCACCGGCGTGCCGTCCTCCACGCGGCATCGAAAGAGATGCCGCGTCTCCCGCGGTAAAGAAACTCGGGAAGAGAATGCCTTTAAGTCCAGGCAGGAAGCGACCTCAGCCATCACAGGTGGCAAATAATGGAAACTGTGCAAAAGAGGAGCATTAGCCCCTTAAGGGTCGTCTATTTTCATGTCGCGTGGCCACGCAATCCATCGTCGCAAACCGGTGGTTTTCTCCACCACAACTGAAAAGGGTATTATCCATCCGACTGTTGTTGCAGACGAAGCGTCCTCGATTATTCCCGCTTCCTTCAACAATCGCGCGTCATAGACTGGAGTCCTCCGTGAGCTTCCACCCGATGTAAAAGAGGACGGAGGAAAAGGGGACCGCCCGACGCGTCCTCGGTGCGCGTCTCGTTATTTTAGCGGAGTGAGGATGAAAATCAGAGAAAAAGCGCTCCTCTGCTTTCAGCCAGGGCTCCTGCCCTTCCGCAGCTTCTCCCTTCACATCAATGCGACCAGCGACAGCACCTGGGTCAGCATTGTGATCTGGTTCCCGGAATATCGAACTGTGTTCTGGGGAAGGTCGAACGGGTCGACGTGCCTCGCCAACAGCGAGATCACGTGTGGGTCCAAATTGTGTTTCTCCACGGTTTGAGCAGCGTGCCGCAACGCACCCCGTTTTATGGAACGCGCCGTGGCACCCCAAGGAGCCAGAGCTCGCTCCACGTGGGCAGTCGTAATATTCGTGAGCTTTTCGTTTTCTTGAAGTGTCCTGCATAAATTTATAGTGTCGAACGCGTCCTGCCCTCGTATCCTGACGAACCGCAAGGCGCGGTGGGGATCCGCCCTCGCCGTCTTTGGTGCCACGGACCAATCCAAAAACTAAGCTCCCGTCCGCCTCCAGTGTGAAATTGTTGGGAGTGAAGGCCGCAATCCCAAACCAACGACTCGCCGTTATCCACGCAAGTCGAAAAACAACACGTTCCTTACAATCGGTCCGACTGCGGATAACTTGATTCATCTCTTCCTCTGTCACGGGGCGCGCCTGCCTCGACTGCCTCGTCGACGATCGCGCCGCAACTTTTTGTAACCTCAAAGCCGCCATGCCCAGCGGGGTTCCATTCATTTGCGACATGGACCGCAGCGTCCTGGCGTGCCGCGGTCGGGTCGATGGCGCCACGTCTAACAGTGCCATCAAAAAGGCCGCACGGCTCTCCGCGTTGATCGGCTGTTCGTGCGTGCGGCAAAAAGGTCGTAAATTGCCCAGCTAGAGACATTCTCTGCTCCCACGTTGACGGCGTCCACATTTCTCGGGCCACCTCGTTCGCCCTCCTCACGCAGCCGGCCCAAAGCGGAGACGTCGGTGATTCGTCGTACCACAGTCGAGCGTCGTTGGCGGATAAGCTCCACTGCCCTTCTCGACGAATGCGTCGGGCAATTCAAAATATCGGGTGGGACATCGGCGGCGCGGTGCGACGCCTGTGAGAATTGGTGGGAGGTGGTGGAATGAATGGGGCTGCCGTCTTCCGCTCCCATAAGCGGCGGGCAGCCCCTCTGCCGCCTTTTGACGGCCGTCTGCGCCGCGAGCGATTCCTTCTGGTCGTGCTGCGTACGCTGCACATGGATGCGTCGCGTCCACAAATACGATACAATCGGCGTCGCAACGATCGTTGCTGTTGCGTGCGTAGGGGGGCGCGCAGTTCGGAGATCGGGACGCTGGACTCAGTAGTCATCATCTGCAACTGGAAGGTCTGCAGTAGGGCCCTAAACAAATCCATGGAACGATCGGCAGGATCCCGTTCTGTCTACAACGTGCGCCTGCACGATAACAAACCGTCAAAGGCAGGTTGAACCTGAGCGTCCGCCTGGTGCCAATGGTCATAACTGTATGCGCTCCGGAGGCAAGCGACGACTTCGGAGATGCCCTCATTCCATACACGCGGAGCCCAGGTGGTGACGTCCAATGCAAGAAAATGCAGCACCCGACCTTCTGAACCGGAATCCTCTTCCAAGGGGACGGTGGGGAGGCAACGGCAACAAAAAAAAAATAGGATCTCCCAACATTGCCCTAAGACATCTGGGTGCTGACCAGCCGTCTCTCCCCCGCAAGGTTGGGTTGGGGAAACGCGGATGCTGACACACCCCAGGCCATCAAACGACGCCGTTGATTTGGCTGTTTATTTCCGCCATTGCCGTGCGTGCGTGGGGCCATCTGGCGGCCCTCTCCGAGAGGTGGGCGCCTCTCGTTGACACAGCGTCTCCGCCTTCCGCAAAAAGGCCGCCAACCACCGAAATGTCAGTTTCACGTGCCGAGCGGTAGTTGAGCGCCTCTTCCGTCTGAAAGTAAATCCGAGCAGTCCAATTCTGTACGTCCGCAACGGCACGGGTGTAGTCCGAGCCTAATATCTGCCTTTCCGCAATGACGAGCCATTGCTTGCCCCCAACTCCCGGGCCGCCCCACACGATGGGCAGGAGCACTTGAGCATCGAAATTTGGTACTTGAAACGCCCGGCGATCCGCAACATTTCCCGCAACGGTCGAGCCCTCCAACTGCTTGGCGATACTTCCTGAAATCAATCGCAGGCCCGTCATGGTTGCAGCGACGGCTACTGCCTCATCCGACATCTCGGCTCCGTTAATGAACGTTTTCTGCACCTGGCTTGCGTCACATTGACGTACAATTCCGAAAAACGGTCACCAATATCGCTCTACTCGGAGCTCGTGTAGGGGGAATCAATGCCATTTCCCTAAACCAAGCTGGCCGTGTCAGTAAATTTAAAAATAAAAACAAAACTGCCTGTTCGCTGCCTGCTCCCCGCTCCCCCTAAATTCGTGTTATTCCGACGTTCATAATATAAGAAATGTAACATAAAGAAGTGCATCCGTTTTATCAGGATTTAAATTAATTAATTTAGCCAGCTCCCCGGCGATCATTCTCTTCACAAGCACCTATAGCAAACAAAAAATCGTACGGAAGGTTCAATTAAACCGATTGGCCCCAAGCACCACCCTCCTCTATTTAAACGACAAACCCTCTAATTTAGCGCTGCACCGTCTGTGCTATTCGTTCGAAGTGTTGCGAGTCTCATGGCTCTTCTAAGGAGCTCCTCCAGCCACGACTCCGTCAACTGTTTCTCATGCGATGAGAAAACTCCCTCAATCTCCACCTCATGCATCAATACTCCCTTCTCCGTCACCTGCGTCATGTCATAGCGGAACATTCCATCTGTGATGCTGAGCCGATCCTTCAGACGTGTATGACCAGCTCGTGGGCCAGCGCCAGAGAAACGCAAATCCCCTGGAGTTTCTGTTGACACGGCGAATCGAAGATTATACGCGCCTAATGGAACCACAATGTTTTTCACAAATAAACGTTTCTTCCGCACAATTGATACGCAACGAGTAGGGTTACCATCCTCATCTGTGGCGTATGTATGGCGCCATCCACGTAATGAAACGTCGTGCGTTACGGATCGTGTCATAGAACTATTTTCCATCTCGGTCATTAAATAAGTCTTGATACGCTCGTAATCCTCCGTGGAGACACAAGCTGTAAAATTTGCATCAACAATCCGCAGCCCATTAGTTTGTGCACCGTTCTGGTCGCTGGTATTTTCACGCAAAGCGTCTTCCTCTACCTTAAACTGGCCTAAACGCATTTCCACTTCAATGAATGGGTTGGATAAGTGTTTATTTACGGCGTCAAACAATGCCTTGGCCACGGCACGCTGCTCAGCATCGCCCATACTTACCACCTCGTGCTGCGAAATCCCCTGCTCATCGGAAAGCATCTCCCCCCTCTTCTTCCTTTCTTACTCTTTGTTTTATTTGTTCATGTCACACGGTGCATTTCCACGAGAACGATAAGGGTGGGGGGAGGGAGGGAAAGAAAAATATCGAGAGCGAGTAGGGACGAAGACAACAAACATCAGCAGTAACTTGGAGCATATCTTGGGAAAGGATCCACCACATTCTCCCTGTCCTCTTGGAGCATACACAGTTCCAGTTCCATCTTTCTTATGTTCTTCACAATTTTTCCCTCCCAACAGCCCCAAAATCCATGGCAACATCTCCCAGCGTCATTCTTTTTTCCTTTCTGTTACTCGCAGAAGAAGCAGCACAGGATCGCAGTCGTGACACTTCAGTCGGTGGAATCAATTACGAAGTACGAGATCGTTTACGGCGCAATAGGGGACACTCCGCACGGGTGTGTCCAGCTTCATTGCAATAGCCACAGTGCATGTATGACGTCGCATGCGCACGGCTACGATGCCCTACAGGTGCGTTTGCGGAATCCGTAACCCTTTCGGTACTTTGCATTTCGCGAATCTTTTGTATTTCTTCTTCCCTCTCCCGCTGCTTTTCCTCTGCCGTTTTCCGTAGATCCATCACAAGTTGTTCCACGTCTGTCATCAAAGACCTGGCCTCATCGTGGTTGGAATTCAGCTCCAGACATCGACGCAATGCCGTGTATGCCTCATGCGGGTGTTTTAAGTGATGCTGCGCGTGCGCAATGCGAAAGAAGGCTCTTGCATACATGGGATTCACCTCCGTTGCCTTCATTCCGTCTTCCAGTGACTCGAGATGACGGCCTGCCCGACTATATGCCGCACTTCTATTGCAGAACAAGACTGCTAACTCAGCAGACTTGCTGCTGCTAACATCGGTGGAGTTGTCCTTATTCCTTTCATCACTTCCTGTAGAACACCTTGCGTGCAATTCAATGGCCTTTGAAAAATGTCGCACGGCACTCAGGTATTCACCCTTTCCCATGGCCTCCTTTCCTTGTTCAATACCTTTACGATAGTAATATGCATCCTTCGTCTCCTGTGTGGCAATGCCTTTGCCGTTGCGTATGAGCTCCAGCACCACCTGATGCTGCTCCACGTACAAAGCGTTCGTAGGGTCCAATGCATGCGCCCGATGATAATGCTGCGCCGCCTCTTCATAATGTTTAAGACCATGATATGCCGTAGCCATACGCCCGTGTACTTTGCTATTATTTTCATCTAACTGCAGCGCCTTTTTTGCGGCATCTAGAGCACCCGCATACTGATCACGTGCCGCAAGGCATGCACTCATATTGGAGTATGCCCTCACCTTTTGTGGTGTTGTGGCGCGAGCGTCCTCGACAATTTTAGCATACACACCAATAGCGTCATTGTGACTCCCCTCACGCACAAGAGTTGTCGCCATTGTGAAATCTTCCTCAAGAGTTCCCGACATGCCGTGTATTTTTCTTCATCCGCCTTTTCTTTCACTGAAAGAGAAAGAAAGACAGTGAGAGAGAAAAAAAGGACGGGAGAGGTAATAAAGAGAACATGGGTAAAGGAAGACGTGCAGAATTGTTGGGAAGTTCAAACTCATGAGGGAGCAAACAAATCCCCACTACAGGCATTGCAACAAAGTGCGGCAGCAGAAAAAAAGGGGGGGGAAAAAAAAAAATAGCTCACGACAATGTCATTTGCTGTACTGAATGTATGCATGCTTACTACACATTGCTGAATGCAACTTGAACTGTCAAAGGCTCATTTTTTTGCCATGAAATATATTATAACGATAATGGAAAGGAGAATCAGACAGCAGATAAGGTACACAGCCATCATGGGGCGATCCATCCTTTCAAGCGCCTTCTTTAGCTTAACGTTTAATTTGCCCAATCTGCCATGAACATCGTCCATCTTCTTTTCCGTTTCATCCAGCATCTGTTCCTGTGTGCAAAGCTCCGAAGTGATAACCGTCGCATTTTGATTAAGTCTTTGCACACCAACGTAAATGCAATCCAGTGACTTGTCAATCACCTCGTCATTTTTTTGTGTTTCATAAAAAAATTGCAAGAACTCCACGTCCTCATGAAGATTGTAGGCATTGCCGGGCTTCGGGACAACGTTACCGGAATTCGAAGCCAGGAAGGCACTCTGGTTCACGGCATATTCCAGGTCAGTGAAGGGGAGTGGTTCCCTTTCAAAGGTGCTACCGCCTGGCTTAGCAACAGGAAGTCCCCCACCGTAGCGCTCGCGGACAATGTCAAGTGTATCGTTGAAGTGACGGGACAACAACTCAAAGTCCTGCATTCGTCCCTCACTCTGTGCCACCCTCCTTGCATTCTGCATCTCAACCTTGGCCTGGAGCTCCTCCTTGCGAATCTGTTGACTCACCTCGACACGAAACTTCCGGCTCGCGTCGGCGGACAATCCATCTAGTTGCGTCACCAATTCTCGTATGCGCCGAATACGACTGGCAACCTCGAGTTGTGCCTTCTCGTACGGCGTCATCGTCTTCTGCGGTTGCATGTGTAATTCCTCACGGAGGGGCAATAGCGGTGCACCCTTGGTGTTTTCACTGGTTCCATTGATAAGCTGTAGCCGCTTCATGATGCCTTGCATCGTCCCACACCGCCCCTCAATACTCGCCGCACAGCTACAAGACAGGGGCTGACCTTGTATCCTTGAGGAAAAGTTGAACGATTTAAAAAAAAAAAAAAAAAAAAAACAATAACAAAAGCAAAAAATAACAAGTGATTAAATAACAAATCAACAAATCATTAATTCATGTATAAAAAACAAAAGCAGTGAATAGCGGCCACGAGCATCGACGTTATGCCGCATCTGAGAGGGACTTCTGTGCCTCCTCGCCGCGTGGAGGTGCTGTTGGCAGCAGAGCCTTTCCACCCCGAGGAGAAACTGCGCCAACCCTTTTCATGCAGCACGGCTTCCTCACGTCTCCAGCGTTCGCTCCGTCTTTTTTTTATAGCCACCGGCAAAGCCGGGCAGCGGAGTAGATGCGGACTTGTCTCGTCGCACAGTTCATGCTGGCTGGGGTTTTTCGCGACGTCCGGTCAATGCCTGTGGCATGCCGTGCGGTGGCGATTCAGTATACATACATATGTATATATACAATTATATATATCCCGATGAACACTCTGGTGACACGCCGCACTTCATTCGGATTGGAGGTACTTATAACCTACAAACTGGAAGACTTTGAATTCCTCCAGCAACAACACCCCGCCGCAAGAGCGGAAATCAAAAAAGGACCGGGTAGAACGACCAAAATATAAGTGAAAGTAACATTCTTCTTACCGCTATCGGTTCCTTCACCCCTTCCATTGTGGCCTTCCAAATGGTCAGAAAATGATAATAATAAAAAAAAATTCTATTTAAATAGCTTCTTCTTATCAGAACATATATTAATTTGGGTATCCAGCATTCTTGCAGACATTCGCTTCACACGCTCTCATTATCTGTGCTCATCATCCGTAACGAAAGTAATAACAAACAGTGACAAAAAGAAAAAAAAAAATCCAATTATCATGCCTTCCTCAAAAAATAATAAATTAAATAAATAAACCATTGCGCATTAGACTGCATTGTGGTATACCCGCCACAAGTCCTTCTGCCTCACGGGTAAAAGAGTCGCCATCTCGCGAGCCAACTGGACCTCCGCATCTGCCTCTTCGTTCATGGGATTACTAGACGCAAAAGCAATGGCCTTTTCAAACATTACAATACTAGCAGAAATGTTGTCATACTCTTCTTTTGGATCCTTGAAAAACCGCTTCATCTGCAAATGCGCCAATCGCATCAGCGACCTGAAGAAGGGCAGTCTAGAGTCTATGTCTATTGTCTCGGGGATCTTGTTTGTCTGTGGTTCTTTCCATGTATCACAGAAACGCCTGTAAAACCCTTGTACCTTATCTGCAAATGCATTTATTTTCTTATCGGACAGCGGTTTCTCCCCCTCCATGGGACTGTTCTTCTGCTGAATATAAACCTCCAGCATCTCTTCATGCATGCCTCCCAAATCAAATAGCAACTGACGGACAAGTGTAGGGTACGCGTTAAAGTTCAAGTCACTCGGAAATAGTTCGATAAGCGCTATCCTTCGTTGATGCATAGCAATGATGCGATCACGATTTTCCTCAAAAGGAATAAGCGCCGCGTACAACTGCGCAATATCCTTCTTAATATCAATATGCTCTGTGCAACATCCATCATACACATAATAATTTAGCGCCTTGTTGAACCAAACGTTTGCCTCCTTAAAGCACTTACGAGCGTCTTCAAAAGTTTCAATTGCCGGGAGTGGCTGCGGTGGAGGAATATCAAGTGGGAAATCAACCCACCATCCTTCAAACTCATCCGGAAAATGGCCACGCGGTGCACAATTACGTCGCACTTCGGAGTAATAATGAAGCCGATGTAAATAAAACTTTCCAAACGCCCATGCCACAATCCCAAGAGTCTCCTCGTTCGCGTTTTCCTCCGGCATAATGTACTCCCCCGCACGAAGACAATGTAACGCCTTCCCATAGTCAAAGCAGCTGCTATAAAATGCACTAAGGTGCAATGCGTTCGTTGCCCAGTCCTTCTTTGAAAACTCCATTTTGTTTAGCAGTTGGTGATACAACGTGTGGTGACAGTAACGTGAGGCCAGTGCCGTCATCTTGCATGCCGTGTAAACTTGGGCCAAGAAGAACAGCGTGGATGTAAACGCCGTATCCATTTCAAACCGAACTATGTAAATTGGCAGTGCGTCCGGAGAGATGCTTGCCCGGTCAAGAGTACCGTTTTCTAACACAGGGATGTCCTTCATGAGACAATGCCCAGGGAAAGACTGATGAAACCAATCATTCCATGCTCTATATGCCTTCTCTGCCACAATAAGAACCTGCTTTGCGTCGTTGATACGCAACTCAACATCGCGGTTTGAGAAATAAAACCCCAACGCGTTATGCACACGCATAAATTCCGTGACAAACGCATACTCCTTTTCAGCCGTGACAAACGGAACCTCATTCCTGAGAATCTCCTCGAGCGGGTGAGCCGCGATGTCCACAACATCGTCCAGTAACTCTTTCTTCGAACCAAAGAGAGTCAAAGTGTACGCCTTGCAAATTTCACTTACTCCCTCCGTCTCTTCATCGGTTTCCAACATATTGAAGCCAATGAAAACGTAACACCGACAGATTTGGCTCATCGCCGTCTGTGAAGGAGATTCTTTGTACGCATTTCTCACAGACTCTCGTAAGGCTTGCATTTGTTCCCTTGCCGTGAATTTAGGCTCAAGGACGTTATGCCTCGGCCCCTCCGTATTGCTCAGTGTTACAATCGCGTCGAAGGACGACAAGAATGCGTTGGGGTCCATTAGCCTAAAATAAATTTCTTTTGTCTCAGAGGGGGAAAGAGAGCCAACAAAAAATAAAAAAAAAAAAAAAAAAAAAAAAAAAAAAAAAAAAAAAAGAGGAAAACAGCCATTTTTTTTTCTCTTTTCTTTTTCCCCCTTTCCTTATCCATAACGCCATTCTTTTTAACTGACATTGCCGAAAATTCTTCCCTGTTGCCGCGTATCTTCATGGCATCGTCCCCCCATGAGGAAGCCGTGCCCAATTGTTAATGAAGGAAAGAGAAAGAAATCCAACATATGAAGCGAGGAGATTCAAAACCCCGTCGTTGCTCCCTCGTCCCTTTTTTTTTCTCGTTTTTTTTTTTTTTTTTATTATTCTGGCTTCATTTTTGGAGTTTAACGATAATTTCACATAAAGTCTTCCTCCTCAATTGAAACACCAGCCGCACCGCCAGCGTCATTTACCGCGTCAAAATCCAAAGCATCACGATCCTTCTTTTCGATATCTGGCTCCTTATTGACGGTGGTTTCTATCGTGGCAGCGTCGTCGTGGTGATTGCTTCCCTTTGCCTTCTTGGCTTTTTTGATTCGCCTCTTCGCCTCCTCGCTGGATACATGCACCCTTGTCGCCTCCATGTTTGCAGCGTAAAGTGTTCGAAATTCTTGAGCAAAATCCTGAAACACAACAGCAAGCATCGTATTAAAGTGTGGCAGCCGGGAAAAAGTCAGCAGCCGCTTCGCGATGGCTTCTCCAAGTTCTGTTGCATCTTGTTCGGTTTTCACAGGCATATCCGCAATGAGCCTCCGTGCACCCTCGTCCCCATCCCCCAATAAATGCATCGCCTCTCCCGCACTGCTCGCCTTCTCTTTCATCGTAATAAGAGCTGCTGCTATGTCTGCTGCAATTGTCTCTTCCTCTTCCTCTTCCTTCTTCACTTTTGCAGGGGCCTTAATGCGTTTCTTAAGTTTCTGCTCCTCAATGTTAGCCTTCTGTTCGAGTATCTCCTTTTCACGTGCTTCCTCTTCTGCCGCTTCTGCTTCCCAATCATCGGCAGCGTCGTTGTACTCATCAAAGTTGTCGTAATCGTCGTTCATGGTTTATCGGTTTCTCTGGGATCTATTCCCTACACATACATATATATATGCGTTTTTATGGTAAACAGGAACAAAAACAACAGGAACAAAAAAAGGACAAAAGAAAAATGTACGTATTTCCAACACCAGGCAGAAAGAATGATAAAAATAACAAATAAAAACGGCTTCTTAAAACAACAACTATAAAAAAAGAACAAAAAAAAAAGGAAAAAAAATATCTTAAAAAATTAAACCACAAAGGAGGAAACAAACACTAAAAGAAAAAAAAAAAAAAAAAAAAGGGGGGAGGAGTGAAGAGATGAAAGAAGGGGTAGGAAATAAAAAAAAAAAGGAAATGAAAAGATAATGATACATGAATTGAATCAAAAGACCTCTTCTTCTCTTTTCTCCACCCCGCTTTTTTTCCTTCTTCCCTTCTTCATCCCCTACACAACAGCAACAGGCTTACGCGTAAAATAATACGGCTCTCCGCCCTCTTCACGTTTCTGGTGTGCTTCCTTTCTAAATGTGTGAAGAAGAATAGAGAATGTTAAATACGGGCAAAACATGTGCGTGTGAACATGGAAAAAACTGGCTTGTTTTTTCTCTTTAATACATTTTTACACGTGTTCCTTGACGAATTTGTTTCTTTTCGCTCTTCTTTTTCTTTTCACCTCATTCTCTCTCTTTTGTTCCCCGATTTCAGGATAACAAAAGGTCCTTCTTGGTCAGCGTCGTCAGACATCATTGCTTCTGCAACTTTATTGTAGGTAAACAACAGTCACAAGGGACTTCCTCAAAGCACATGACCCAGAAAAAAAGAACGAGTCAAAAAAAGAAAAAAAAGACGTCCCAATTGCAAAAAGTAACGGAATGAAATAAATAATAAAAAAGGAAGATGCCAACAACAACAAAAGGCATACGGAAAAACAACAGGTGGTGGTCTTAAATTAAAAGATTCGGCTGCAGGACGATTAATACAGCTTAAATATCTCACCCGTTACATCAGATATGTGACTTAGGCTTTTCCCGTATACATACCGTAGATACCTCTTTTTAAGAATTAGTTGTCATTTCTCTTCTTTTTTCGTTATTTGCCTCTTCATCCTTTTCAACGTTATGCACGTGTCTTTTTTGTCGACGGTACCAGTTCATGCAGTGTTCAATAAAACCCTATTACTTATTTATTTTTTTTTATTTTTTGCTTTTATTTTTATTTTTGTTAGAGTTGCTTCTGTTCCTTCTTTTTCTCTCCTCCTGTTAGTATCTAGTGCATTTTATTTCTGTATTCGTTTCTTTTGTATCACACGGCACGCTCTGTTTTTACTCTTTTTATTCCCTTTTGGGAAAAATTGGTCCGTAGTTCGCCTTCGCTTAAATGTCTCAATTCATTTAAATTTTATATCTTTTCAATGCAACGTGAGTTACGCTGTTCCGCGCTTCTTACTGATAGCCTCGGCCATCAGCTCACCAAGCTGGGCAGGGGACTCAGAAACAATGACGCCCGCAGCTTTCAACGCTTCCATTTTGCCCTTTGCTGTACCCTGTCCACCAGAAACCACGGCACCTGCATGGCCCATACGACGGCCTGGCGGAGCAGTCATGCCGCCAATGAATGATACCACCGGCTTCTTGATGGGGTGGTTCTTGATAAACTCTGCGGCTTCCTCCTCTGCAGTTCCACCAATCTCACCAATAAGAATAATACCCTCCGTCGCAGGATCCTCAAGATAAAATTTGACACAGTCAATCATGTTCGTACCATTGAACGGATCGCCACCAATACCAACGCACAACGATTGGCCGAGACTCTTCGCTGTGGTCTGAGCAACCGCCTCATATGTGAGTGTGCCGCTCCGGGATACCACACCAATGCAGCCTTTCTGGTGGATATGACCAGGCATGATACCAATTTTGCACTCTTCCGGACGGATAATACCAGGACAGTTGGGTCCAATCAGACGCGTCTTGTTCTGAGAAAGAAGCATGGACTTCACGCGAAGCATATCCCACTGCGGAATTCCCTCAGTAATGACAACAACAAGGGGAATTTCGGCATCAAGGGCCTCCTCAACAGCGGCCGCACAGTGAGGTGCAGGGACGTAGATCACAGTGGCGTCAGCGCCTGTTGCCTTAACAGCCTCCGTGACGGTACCAAAGACAGGTAATCCAAGGTAGTTCATTCCGGCCTTTTTGGGATTGACACCACCAATCATTTTTGTTCCATACTCAATAGCCTGCTGTGTGTGGTAGGTGCCATGCTTACCAGTAATACCTTGGCAGATGACCTTCGTGTTATTATTAATCCAGCTGCGGAGAGCAGTGCGAAAAAACATTTTCCCTTCCTTTTATGGATAATAAAATTTAAAAAAAACTTCAGAATAATCCAGAATTGACTTTAAATTCAGGTGTGTAACAAAAAAAAAGGAAAGAAAAGTCCAGAATAACACAAGAACAGTTTTAAACAAAAAAATTTAAATAGATAGATACAAAAAATATCCACCAGAGATAATACATATATACGAATACCAACTTGGTATAATCATTTTCAAAACGCATGCAGTGAAAAAAAATATTATTTCTCCCCTTTTCCCCGTCTTCATTTTATACCAAGAAACAATTCCATTCTCCATTAATTTTTCTTCAACCCCCTAAAAAAAAAAAAAAAAAAAAAATGTAAATGAAAGAAAATTGCCGGAGAAAAAAATCCAAGCGTCAATTTTGATTTTGTGTGCCTTCAGGAGAAAACGTTGGAGCTTGTTGAGTTACCTGGTGAGGAAATTTTGCGGGGAGTTTGACCTCCTTCATGTGAGCTAACTCGTAAGCTGGGGGAAGAGTTAGTGGACCTTCTGCAGGTTTTACTCGGTGAACTAAAGAATTGATCCTTGTACATCGCTCGCAGTTCTTCTGCACAACGTCGCAGCAATTCTGAATAAGATCTTCCCCACGAAAAGGTATAGACTTTTTTGTTTTTCTTGCCTGGTCACGATGATTAACGACGACCTTTGCATAAATATCAGACTGGGAGAGAAACCACAAACCTTCACTAGGATTGTTGTCAAATATACTAGAAGCTGCGTAAGAAAATGTCAATGCTTCAAACACATCGACTTTCAACTGAGAAAATGTCAATGTATGCAGGAACTCATTTTTGGAAGAGGTAATACTCTCTTGAGCAATTCCTATTGCTTTCTTATAAAACTGCACAACCTGATTTAATAGCTTTGCCACCATTGACTTGCCACCGCTCACTTCATTTTCAACAGCTTTGGTCGCCCCAATTTCCTGCGCCTGAGCCAGAGCTACAAGGCGTAAAAATTCCAAAATTTCTTCCTGGAGATCTTCCGAGCGTTTCAATTCAGTCGTGCCAACGCAATAGCTTTTCACATCATGAGCCATTTCTTGAAGAAGAGAAAAATACCCAGCAGCCTGTAAGAGAAATCGATAAGACTCTTTTTCCAACTTTGATGCATTGTAAGGGGTCATCTGCCAACAAAGCAAATATTCCGCCATATTCATCAAAATCGCTGCTACATTGAAATACATGCACTGTAAGTCATATCGGAAATCATCAAGGAAAACATCTCCATTGTCGAGCAACGATGATCCCCAAGAATAATAATATTCGGTTGCAAAGACGGGATACCCAAACAATGTGGTGGCGACCTCATTCTCATATAAATTCACGGCATCTATGGCGTCTTTAACTAATTTCTCCCTCCCTTCTTCTGTTTGCCAAGAAATATCCTTGTACTTGGAACCCTTTTCAAACGCCTTGCAAATCGACTCAATTCTCAAAATACACAATGCTCTTTTTTTTTCAATTTTTTTTTCCACTGAAGGCGTTCTTTTAAATTTGGCATCTGGTTTTTCTTTACGAGATATTGGCTTTTTCAACGGGACGGTAATGAATCTAAACGTCATTGAAAGCCTTCATTAATAGTATAAATAAATAAATATAATAAATATAAAATAAGCTATGGCCTATAAGGAATAATTACTAAAAAAAAAAAAAAAAAAGACGGCAATAGGAGCAAACAAATTTTAAAGGCCATATTAAATCGTAATACATTGATAAATAAAATTTTTTTTTGGGACTCCCTTCAAATTCATTGCTGTCGCCTATTTAATGAATGGAATAAAAATAATACAAATACAGGCTAAAACTAGATGTCCTGACCCAAAACCACCCAACATTCCGTCAAAAGTCTTTTCATTTCCTCGGTAGATTCAAGGTCATCCGCATGCTCGGTAAGTTTTTTTTCAGATACACAGTTGCAGACTTCAGATTTATCTGTGGTAGTGCAAATGGTATTACCCTCATGAATATCAGAAAGCTGTCTCCGCAAAGCATCTATATCATTTAACTTTTCAATTAACTCATTTCGAGTAACTAAAAGGTCTTTTTCGCATTCTCTATGAAATCCAATCATAACACAACTCGCCATTAAAGCAATATTATAACGTGATCCTTGCTCCTCTTCGGAAATATCACGACGAGCCTCAATTTCTTCTTCTACTAATGCATAAACATTGAGAACCCACTGAGATTGCCTTAATTTTTCTTCAAAAAAATCACGTGACCTTCTAACGGAATCCAAGGAGGTTGATAATCTTCTAAATTCTAAATTAAAGCGATGTAAACGGTTGAGTAGATTCATCCACATCTCTTCTATATTTACAAATCGTGAAATGATAATGTTGTTAGCCTTTTTAAAAGCTTCTTGAATAAAAGTATGGGACATATCCGGTTCTGTTTGGACTGCTGAAGAGATCACGGAAGAATCTGTCTGTGTACCCAGATCTGCACTTAATGATATATTCTGTACTGCAATGCTTTTTGTCAAGTTGCAATGTTGAACCGCCCTAGCCACAGTATAGTACTCAGTCTGAATCGCTTTGTCCACCCTATTAGTAGATACTGGTGACTGAATAAACATATTGAGATGCTGATCACATTTTACCTCATTCAATGGGCAACCATTAGCTATTAAAGCGATGACATCATCCGCAATTGCCAAGACATTCTCTGTTGTCTTCCTAATTTCCATTATAATTGAATAAACAAGAGGAGATTTTCTTTCCCCCCTCGTCTCTCTTTCAATAACAACAAAAAAAAGATGACGAACATTAAAAGAATATGTATTGCATATATATACTAGAATTCATTTAGAAAAAATATAACTCATCAGCAAATATAGAAAAACAATATCAAAAAAAAAATAACAAAAAAAAAAAGCCATCAATTCATTTCCCTTCTCATTTCAATTTCTTTTTTCGCCTTTTTTTCTCCTTGGTATTTGCTTTTTCTGTTTGTGCGCGTTCATGATTCTTGCTTCATGCCACTATAGTTATTACGCCCAAAATATCCCTTGGGACGCGCTTCGTAACGTGGAGCCAGATTCGGTTGAGGCTGCATGCCCATTTCCTTGTATGGGCTACGTTTTAAGCACTCTGTAGTCATCTCATCTACTGTCCAGTCCAATGGTCTTTCACTGTCTTTATGGAGCAAGTGGTCCAGTTTTTCTATTGCATCGATGCGAGAGTGCTCTGTAATTCCGTAATCTGACAAGCTTTTATCAGGATCCAATTCCTTTCCATCAACAGCAAGAGTAAAAGTAGAAGAACAAAGGTATGGAGACTGATTTTCGATAGTAACAAGCTCAATAAGTCGAGCAATTGTGATATCTCTTGGTGCCATTGTTTGCACAATATGTAGTCTTTGTTCCCAACCAGTTGTGACCCAAGTAAATAACTTAAATCGAATTCTTAAAGGAATAACATATTGCACTTGAGGATCATCTATCACAGCCCTCCAATAGTGTCTATCGTTATCCTGAAGAATCGATTCCAAGCTTCCTGCATAAAAACGAGTGTCTCCTGGAGTTGCCGAACGAATTGGTCCGGGATAGTTTTTCGATTCCTCTAGTCTTCTCCGCGCTTCAAAGGCTTCCCGTTCATATTGGCCAAGTTTACCCGCCCGTAGATAGAAAGCCGCTGTCCGCCTCCAGGCCAACGAAGGTGAAATTCTAAACATTTCACCAGCCCCCTACAAAACAAAACTAACGTGACAAAAGCGAATGGGAAATTATATATATGTATTTAAAAAAGACGACCTCGCAGTAATAAACACATACGGCGCGGAAAAGAAAAACTACAACAAAGAAAGCCAAGAACAAGCAACGCACTTCCACGGAAAAGTGCGTCTCCGCCCCCCAAACCCCACCAATTATAATGAAGAAAACGGAAGGAAGGGGGAAGCGAACCCCAAGTCCGCCTCTTCTCTCTGTGTCGCGCGGCCGCCGCCTCTTTTGCCTCTTCCTTTTTTCCGGCGGGGGCGGGTTCGTCGGCGGCGCCCGCTCTTTACGTTTTTTTGTGTGTGCGTGTGCGTGTTCCTTTTTCTTTTTTATTTGTGTTTTTCTTTTGCTTTTTTCCTCTCTTTATTTGGCCGATTGCGCGGGAGAAATTCCCTCTCCAGGGCTGCGTCGTTTTTTTTTTTTTTTTTCTACCGTAGGTAGAACGCCTGGCTTTCAAAGTTAATGAATTTCTTTATTATTATTATTATTATTATTATTATTATTATCTTTCTTTTGTTGTTTCCTTTATGATTTTTTGTAGTTTTTTCTTTTTTTTTTTTTTAAATTGCGTCGCTGCTTTTGCTCATTTGGTTAGCGTAAATGGAGGGCGTTGAGGCAGCCACTACTTTTTTAAGCGCGGGATCGGAGCTAGTGGTTTCAGTTCCCCACAAAACGAAGCGTTGCTCGGCGAATTTGAAGGTTCTTTCCCTGACGGGTGGTGTGGAACCTCGAGTGGATGTGTTGGGTGCCCCTGCTCTTGTGGATGTATCATATAATTTGTTACCTGGAATGGTATTTTCTATCTTTGCATGGAACAATGCTTCTATACGCATTGAGGGACCTAAGCAGCTTATTCTGAATTGTTATCGCTCTACAATACCACCTTTTTTAAGACCAGTGGTCGAATATCATTGTATTATACACGATGCACGCACAATGGCCGATAAAAATTCCTTATTTGGACCCATTGTTCTTATTTGTGGAAAAAATGATACAGAGAAACACGCCATTGCAAGAACACTTTGTAACTATGCGGCTCGAACCGGCTGGTGTCCTCAATTGGTAGATCTAGATTGTGGTATAGGACAAATGCTTGGGGCACCTGGAACCTTGTGTGCTGGAGTCATTGAGTATCCTATGACTCTGGATGAGGAGACAACGACAGGTCCTGTTTCCGTTTGTTTTTTTACCGGCTCAACTGAACCTCAGATCAGGAGTGGCTCAGGTGAATGGAATATGTTTGCGCCATATACGCACTATACTAATTTGTTGTTAACTTGTGTTAATGGTAGAATTGCTAGGCATTTGGGTGGGATAGCTGCATCTAGTGGTGCCGTAGTTGTAATTCCAGAATTGAAAGGCATTAGTGGTATTCTATTTGTGGAGAATCTTTTAAGGCGTTTTAATATTTCTCATGTTCTCTGTATTGGTGATGATTTTCTTTTTTCTGGACTTCAGGAGCGGATTATGAAAATGCAAAACCCAATGAATTCTCATTCTTCTGTGAGCACACGTATTGATAGGCTCTCTCAATCCTTTCATTACCCTCCGATGGATGCTGGATCGGAATATTTGTCATCAAAATTGGAAAAATATTTTTTTGGTGGTGGTGCTATCGACCTACAACCTTCAGAGATTAATAAGTCTTTTTCAAGCATTGAAATCCTTTTATTGAAGGATAACGATAGCCATGCAGTTGTCACCGTTGTTGAGCAAGATTCGTTGGAGGCGATAGTTGGTTGTGTGGGTGCTTTGCTTGAATCATCCACAATAAGTGATAAAGACGTTCTTTCTCTTGCACCATTCGCATTGGCGAGAGTTCAAGGTGTTGATGCACATGGTGTCAATCTTCTTGTAAGTACACATTCTGCCCTTTCTGAGAAGTTAATACTGGTTGTTGGCTCTTTCCGCTGGATAACGCACTAGTTAAACCGAGAATGAGGCTTTTTTCCCTTTTTTTCGAGGTTATGCTTTTGTTTGTTGCTTTTAGCTGATTACCCAGCAAAAAAAAAAAAAAAAAAAAACATTACTACCCACGAAGATAACAAGCTTTGGCGAAAGTTTTTTTACCTTAAGGAGCATAAACCTTTTCTTTTACTTTTCTGGTTCATTGCTGTTTTTTTTTTTTGCTTTTTTTTTTTTTTTTACGTTTTTTTTTTTTTTTTCTTAAACTTCTTTAAATATAAAAAAATATATATATTAAAAATATTTACGGTGCAATGGGCTTAAGGAGTGAGTTTTTGAGGCTAAGTAGTATTCGGGAAGTCATAAAAACTGAACTATCTTCTCTATTAGACTCTCTTGACTCCGGTGCTAAGTCCACAAAGGTTTTATATATCTCTCCTCATCTTTTATCAACATTTGAGGCGATTGGCGTGTCTAAAGAGCTTTTTTCAAAAGACCATGGTGTGATAGGTGCATTTCCTTATGAGGCAGAGATCGTTCTTGCGTCTGCACAGCATGCTGTTTTTATTATGAATCCTGATTTAGAAAACATTCGGTCATTGGTTGTAAATGTCCTCACCTATGCACAAAAGCACGCTAAGACATCAATATCTGTTTTTTTTGTCCCGCGTAAGCCCCTCATTATTGAGCACATTCTTGGAAAGGAATATCAACTTTTGCGTTCCTTGCCCGGATTGAGATTAGGAGAATTTGATTTTGACCTGATACCATTGGAGGATGACCTTCTTTCCATGCAACAACCTTTGGCCTTGAAGCATTTAATTGCTGATGGGGATATTACAGTGCTTCAATGGATTGCAAGAATGTTACTGAAGCTTCAAACATCTCATTTTGGGGCAATTTCTTTGATTAGAGGTAAAGGAACCAGAGCGGCAAAGGTGGTACAAATGCTTGGTCGTATGCAGAGTGAAATGGGATCTGAATTCCTGACAGGTCTTACTCCTGAGATTGATTCATTGTTCATTTTGGATAGGGCGCTGGATTTGTTAACTCCGCTACTAACTCAATTAACATATGAAGGACTTATCGATGAATTTTATAATATCGATTCTGGTTATGTAAGTTTTCCATTTAATTTGGGTGAGGGTGCAAAAATTGAAACAGGGCATCGAGTTTTTTTGAATCACACCGATAAAATTTATGGAGAAATTCGTGATAAGAATTTTACAAACGTTGGTTCCACTCTTTACAATAAGTCCGTTTGGATAAAAAAGAGCTACGAACGTCGAAAAGAAGTACAACAACTCAAAGAGCTAAAGGAATTTATGAAGGGATTACCCGAAATGCAGGAAATGCACCGTTTAATAGGTATACATACTGCCGTAGCAACTGAGATAGGAAAAAGAACACAAAGTATTGAGTTTCGAAGACGGATAGCTATGGAACAGAGTATTATTCAACAGGTGAATGAGCGTGAAGTAATAGATTATATAGAGGAACTTATTAATAAGACTGCATCTATTACAGATGTTTTGCGACTTATTTCCATGTTTTCCATTGTAAATGGAGGACTTAAAAGCAAAACATACGATTTCTTTAGGGAGAATATAATGTTGTCTTATGGAATTCCACAGGGTTTAGCAGCATTTTTGGCCTTGGAGCGTAGTGGCTTGATCACAAAACATGACGGCAAACAACTCAACTTTTCTGCTATTCGCAAACATCTTAAATTATGGTACGATGCATTACAAGAACAGCAACCAAATGACATAGCCTACGCATACAGCGGGTATGCATCTTTGACTGTGCGTCTTTTAGAGAATATGATTAGCTATCCTGAGCTTTGGAATACACCAACGGATGTTACGGAATTGATTCCGGGTGAAAAGGCCGAAATTCGTAATGAGGTTGAAACGCCAGGGGGTACACCAATAACGATGGTATTTATTATTGGGGGTATCACATATGCTGAAATTAGCGCCTTGCGTTATCTACAGGAGAAATTAGCTGACGCTGGTAAAGCAAGGCGCATTTTAATAGCATCGACTAACATAACGAACGGCGGACAGATGATAGGTTCTTTGTTACCCTTTTTTACGCCGATGTAATTTCTCTTTTTTTTTTTTTTTTTTTTTTTGTGTTACTTTGTATAGATATATGTACTCTTGTCTTAAGAGTCCTACTGTCAAATAATAAAGATATAGGTTTTTGTTTATTTTTTTTTTTATTACCATTATTATTATTATTATTATTATTATTATTATTATTATTATTATTATTATTAAAAAAGAAGAAGTGGCTAGGAAGGGGGAAAGAGATGTCGGATCCGCCTAAGCGTTGCTACTACGAGGTGCTTGAAATCGACCGAAAAGCGTCACTCGACGATATTCGTCGTGCCTACAAGAAGCAGGCTCTCCTCCATCATCCAGACAAGAATTATGGAAATGTGGACAATACAGTTGCCTTATTTAAGGAAATTCAGAATGCATATGCCATCCTGAGTGATTCGGAGGAGCGTGCGTGGTACGACGCTCATCGGGAAAGTATTTTAAATGGAGGAGAGACCGATGTTTCCACAAATGATATCAATCTTTACGGTTACTTCTCTTCTAGATGCTATGATGGCTTTGGTGATGGCGAAGGAGAGTTTTTTAGTGTTTATCGAGGGGTATTTGATCAATTAATAGAGGATGAGAGTGAATACGAGACTCGTGCGAAAGATTGGCCTCGATTTGGTGATAGTTTGACGGATTGGAATAGTGTGGCTGAGTTTTATTCTTATTGGAAAAATTTTAGTTCCTTCAAGAACTTTGCATGGAAGGATGAATACAAGATAAACGAAGTTCCTGATCGTGCATCCAGGCGAATGGCTGAACGGATTAATCAAAAGGCAAGGGCAGCTGCTAAAAAAGAATACGTACAAACTGTACAAAGTCTTGCTCGTTTTGTTTACCGTCGTGACCCTAGGGTAGAGGCTGAGATGACTCGCCAACAAGAAGAAGAGCGCCGAATAGCAGAGGAGAAGGAGCAGAAGCGTTTGGAACAAGCAATAAGACGTCGTGAAGCAAATGAAAGAATTTGGTTGGCTGCAGCTGAGAAGGAAGCAGAGGAAGAACGGGCTCGAATCGACAGAGGGGAAACCATGGACGGCCGGACATTGGAGTTGCTCTACGAAAAGCAACGCCAAGTGGAAAAGATGCGAAAATCCAAGGGCAGTAATGCTGATGGATTTGCAATGCTAGAGGGCGATAATGAAGACGATAACGGCGGGCCAAAGCTTAACTGTCCTGCTTGCAAAAAACAGTTTAAGAAGGCTGGACAATACAATGAGCACATAAACAGCAGTAAACACAAGGCAAAGGTGAGGCAACTCTCTGGCAAGGGTGTTTGTGTTGAGACACTTATGAAAGACAGTAAGTAGGCTTTTTTTTTTGTTTGAGACGCTGGTGGATGGTGGCAACACACACACACACACAGACACATAAAACACGCAAAAGCTTTTTTTTTTTTTTTGTGGATTAAAATGTACAATTATAATTCCATTCTTCTTTTTTTCTATGGATGATTGTCTTCTTTTTCTCTCTCGTTGAATTTTCATTCCTGCGTAGTGAACAATTGATGCGTTTGAACACAGGTGAAAATTTTGTAGACACCATATGCGCAGGTGCTTGCATTTGCCTGTGAGGCCCGTATTGCCATTATGGAAAAAAAACCGGGATGTGCTGTGCTTCTTTGGGCGTTTCTGCGGAGAAAAGACCGGGGTAATAAATGCATCCATATCAAATTTGCCTGGGACAGAAAATACAGAGACTTTCTCATCAAAAATTGAGGCATACGAAAGGCTTCAGGAACAGTTTCGAGGGCTGTCAGAGGATGATCAAAGACTTATTTTTGACGCCTTGCAACATCCTGAGCAACAACCGCAGTCCAAAATGGGTGGTACTGGTATCGGCACAAAGTCTGGTGATATGGTGGCGGCCTTTACGTGTGGGCGTTGTGATCATCGCATGGTAAAGAAATTCAGCAAGCATGCCTATACAAAGGGTATAGTAATTGTCCAATGTCCCTCCTGTGAGGTGCGACATCTCCTTGCCGACAACCTTGGGTGGTTTGTAGATGAGGCAAAGAACATAGAACAATTGTTACGGGAGAAAGGGGAATCCTTTGTGCGAATTGGGGACGATTATCAGGTTGAACCCCCGACGGATAATGAGAGCTCAAATGTGCAAAAGTGATCTTTTTTGTCTTGTGAAATTGCCAAGTTTAACCAAGGTGTGAAAACCAGAGAAATGCCAATAAAAATGAAATAATAATTTAAAAAATATATATGGGAATTATATTATCATCCGCTGGTTTTTCTTTTTTTTCCTGTTTTTGTGTGTGTTTCGAATGAAATGTGACTATTGCTTTTTTTGTTTCTCTGTTTAGCGGTCTTTTCAAATATTCTTTTCTCTTTTCCCATCTTTGAAGTGTTTACCGCCTATTTCTGCACTGCTGCAGAATAATAAAAGGAAAAGCAAAGCACTGCCAGAGAGAGGATGAGCTACGAGATTCAACCCATAGTGAAGGGTACAAAACGCGACCCGGCGTTAAAACGTTATAACAAGGCGGCAGGAAAAAGTCCGTTTGGCGCTTTCCCTCCCGGCTACGCCCCAAAGAAAACTCGTGCCGATGTCGTGAAATCACGCGATGAGGAGGAGCCAGTTTCATTGCGTGGGGTTAAGTTTGCCTATCCCGGCACGCGACACGGCTTTGGCGGAGCGACAAGTTCTCTGTACAAGGGTCGTCCCAACAATACCAACTCCGATGCCTTTTCGACCAATGGTGCGGGTGACAGTAAGCCACCAAAGGCTGGTGCATTTAAGCGTCGTATGATCCCCCCTACTGAATTTCGTCGGTACTATGATCGCGGTGACCTGCCGTTAGCCGTATCACATGGGAGCCGGCCCAGCATTGACTGGAAGGTAGAGGTGGAGCGACTGGATTACCATCATTACCTCCCCATCTTTTTTGATGGCATACGCGAAACAGAGGAACCGTACATGTTTCTTGCCCGTCAGGGCTGCTTGGATCTTCTTAAGCGTGGAGGTGCGAAGATTCTTCCAACCATTCCGCAGCTTATTATTCCCATCAAGACGGCACTAAACACTCGTCATCCAGAGATTATCTGCGCTACCCTTCGTATCCTTCAACAGTTGTTGGTCAGTGGCGACCTCATTGGCGAAGCGCTCGTTCCATACTACCGGCAGATTCTCCCAATGCTAAATCTCTTTAAAAGTCGCCACAAGAACCGTGTCCGCGGAGATACGATTGATTTTGGTCAGAGGAAACGCGACGATGTAGGTGACTTGGTGGAGGAGACACTTCAACTGCTGGAGCTGCATGGCGGCGATGATGCGTACATCAATATAAAGTACATGGTGCCGACTTACGAAAGCTGTGTGTTCAGCTAGTCGTCTAGAAAGCGGTCAAAACAACAAGAAAAAAAAAGGATATGTAAGGAAGATGAGAGAAAATAACTTGCATTTTATGGATTGATGTGTTTATTTTCTTTTTCAATTCCCTCTCTTCTCTTTTAATTGAAATTAGAACAGTTCAACCACTTTGATGTATAATATAACGGATATGCCGCCTCCATGTGGCTGAGGCCTCCTGGAAAGGCCGAAGGAAAACTCACAGAATCAGCAAGCAAAAAAAAAAAAGAGAGAAAATCTGGGAGTCACACAAAGAGACATGGCAAAAAAGAAAAGAAAACAATAACAACCAAAAGATGAATGTTTACTCTGTCAACAATGTAGGCAATGCGTTGTATAGAGGCGTTAGAAACCATAGTGGGTGAAGAGGCTTTTGGATACTTCTTTTTTCTCCTCTATTTGTGTATTTACATCTTTTTCGTGTACCTTTTTCTTTTGACGGACTTTTCTTTTTTTGATTGTTTATATTTATCTACCTTTTTATTTTTTTATTTTCATCCCACTCCTTTGTTTTGTTTTGTTTTTGTTTCTGTTTCTGTAGCCGGAGAGAGGGATGGAAGAGGAGGATTACTACTATTACGATGAAAATTATGGCGATGAGGAGGAGGAGACGTGGGAGGCAGCGCTGGAAAACGCCTACGTGACGGCAAAGTCCATGATGGACACCATGCCAGAGCAGTGTGCTGCTGGACTGCGTGGCGTCGAGCGCGACGATCCGGTGGGAGGAAAGTGGACGTTCAAGGCATTCAAGATGCTTGTAAGGGTCTGTCGACGCATTGAATCCTATGAAGAGATGCTGAGCTATTACAACAAGGTCTCCACCTTTAGCCAAAAGTGTGTGAGCAAGGCTCAATTGCAGAAAGCCATGACAAAGCTTATTGATGAGGCACAGCGTGTGCCTGTAGAATATCTCCGGCGTATGTTGGAAACCACCATTGAGGTCACTTCAAGGGACATGGGTTCTTTTGGTAAACTGTGGTTTAACGCAAAACTTAAACATGCGACGCTGTTACTCGAGTCGAATGCTCTGGATGCCGCGCTGGAGGAAATGGGAGTAGTACTAGAGTGGTGTAAAGAGGAAGATCAATTTGCTCTCAAGAGAAGTTCCCAATTGTTTCTCTCATACGCGTTGTTGCTAGGAATATACTCCAAAAAAAATGATTACAGTTCTATGCGGGAAACCTTCTTTCTGGCAACCTCTATTATCAACACGATTCCCCCATCCCGCGTGATGGGCGGTGTGATGGAGTGCGGTGGAAAGATGTACATTCATTTTCGTGACTGGCAATCGGCATTTCGGGCCTTTTCGGATGCATTTCTGCACTACAACGAGTCCGGTGACCCTCGAAAGATAGGTTGCCTGAAGTACCTCGTGCTGACCCGCATGCTTGGTGGATCCACTATTGATCCGTTTGCCAGGCAAGAAACAAAAGTGTACGAGGAAACGCCTGAAATCGTGCCCGTTGCAACACTTATGAGGTCTTTTGCCGCGAATGATGTTCGCGGATTTCTCGAAGTTATGGCTTTCTACCGAGAAGCTTTTGAGGCCGATTCCGTGCTGCAATCCTGCCTGGACTTTGTGCTGGAGCAGCTCCGCCTACAGGCTCTTGCGGCGTACTTGGCGCCGTACCAGCGTCTTTATATAAAACGTCTGGAGGAGGTATTATGTGTGGACGCAGAGGAGGTAGAGCGACTGTGTGTCAGGGCGGTGATGGAGGGTAATCTCCATGCCGCTCTCGATGATGAGGAACACGTAATTATTATGCAAAAGGAGCAGTTGGCCGGGCCGCAGGAGGAGCGGCTTCAGGCTTTGACGCGCTGGTCCAATGCACTAACTCAACTGAATGAAGAAACAAGATGGGAAGTTGAGCGCATCACATGACACCCAAGCACGTTCGATTAATTTTTCTCGGCGGCATCCTTGCGCCCCCTTATTTTTATTGCTTCCTTTTTTTTTTTTTTTCCTTGTGCGCATTACACTTGTATTCATGGTTAAATGCAAGAGCCCAAAATAAAATTATCAAACGGCGTCACTTTGATACGTATTTATATTTTTGAAAAAATATAAATGTTAGCTTCTTTTGATTTATTTCTTTTTTCATTGCTATTTTGTTTTTGTTTTCCCTTCTAATTAACGGATGTATTTTCCGCTTTGCCAGTGGTCTTCATTAATAAGCTTTTTTTTGTTTGTTTGTTGTTTTGCTGTTGTAAGGAATGCTTCGCATGCGCTTTTTGTTTCTTGTTTTGGCGTTACTACTGGCTCCTGTGATGGATGCCAATGCGGCTATTACACATGTCAGCATTTTGCACCGTCACGGTGCGCGGTCTGAGCCGCTTTTTCCCAACATGGGACTTAGGGACGCCACGCAGTTGACGCCAAACGGTGAGATAATGATGCTGAACCTTGGGAAACTGCTGCGGGCGACGTACGGCACTTTCATCACGTCCTACGACCCTGCCATGTATGATACATTCTCAGAATATTTTGATAATTGCATCCAATCGGCGCATGGTGTATTGCGTGCCTTCTTCAACAAAGGCTCTCAGTTTCTTCCAATTGTGAGGCATGTACCAGCGGAGACGGATTGGCTTCTGGGATTCAACCACAACTTTCCAAATGTGTATGCGCGTCCTCAGTGGTTCTTTGCGTACTGGAATAACGATGCGCTGGCACGGGGGATGCTATCCACAAACGATATTGAAATGCTTTCTAATGAATTTGGCAGTTGGTGCGCGGAAAAGCCTATGCAATGCGCTCTTTTTGCTGCGGACGCTTTACAATCCAGGATCAGTGAAAAGAGGTTACCCAAACAGCTTCAGACGCTCTTTCAAGAAAAACTATTGCCTATTGTGTATGGTTGGAATAAACACACATACGGATTTAATTCGGAGGATCCTTACGCCGTCATAGGCTCGCCAGCTTACGCCTTGGCCGCGAAGGTGCTACACGATGCGGAGGTAGGCGAGAAGAAAGTCTGCCATTACTCTGTTCATGATTCTACCATATTGGGCTTGCTTAACGCCCTGGGTGCCATCCAACTGGGTGACACGAATCCCAGGTGGCTTCCCCGCTTCGGTTCCGTGTTGGCGGTGACAACGTACAGCAACGGAAACGTTTCCTTCACCTACGCAGAGCCTCAGCAAGAGGCGGGATCCAGCCTGGACTACGTTTCGGGTTTACTTCCCATAACGGTGCGCTGTAAGACGTTTGAGGGTGCAGAGTATATGGCATCCACTTGTCCATTGAATGATGTTTGGCGCTACGTGAACCGCTCAAGGCCGACTGTGGCGGACCCTTTTTGCTACCTTCGTCCGGAGGATGGCTGTGACGTGCTGGAAACTGTGCCAAGTGAGCACTGCCAGTACTACCGCAAGTACTGCCCAATTGGGGCCTGTGGGCCCAATGCAGGATTGGATGCCTCGCGTAACTACACCTGCTTCTCATTTTTTAGAAGAAAATTTACGAAAGATTATACCCTTGCGTCTATTGTTGCGGGTGTGTGTGGTGGGGCTGTGGGTCTAATTGTTGGTTTTCTCATTTCCCTTTTGCTTCAAAAAACTGAGGAGAAGGAGGTGCGTCGTCGGCGTTTTGTGCAAATGGGGGCTGGAGAAACCAATGCCTAAATGTAAGCGATATTTACGGAAATATTTTAATGGCGAGTGCGTGCGTTTTTGTTTTGGAGCTTGCTTCTCTCTTTTTCTTACAATTACGAAGTAAGATGACGCAAGGAATGATGAACCTTCAAAATCGCTGTTGTCATTACCGTTATTATTATCATTGGTAGTATTATTTTTGTTATTATCGTTATTTTTATTTTTATTTTTATTTATTTATATTTTCTGTGTGTCTTTGGCAAGGCCTTTTATTTGCACGCCTTATTTTTCTTTTTTTCCCTCTTTTTTTGCCTTGCTTTGTTGGCTTCCCCTAAATATATATATATATATATATATTGCGAATGCCAGTGGACTGCCAGCGCTCCCGTGGAGAAGGCGCGACGCAACGTTTTTGCACGAGTTTGATTGAAGGCGGAGGTGTGGAGAGGGGAACAGCAACACAAGGGGCAAACAGAACATAGAGCAATAGAAAACAAAAAAAAACAACAACAGCAGCGAAAAAGAGTGGTGGAGCAAAGGGAAGAAAAGGTGGGTGTGATTTGAACGCCTCCACAATGAAGTCAAGGCAGCCCACGAAGAACCGCATCAACATGCATGACATCATTGCCACGCCGCTTGGCGCTCTTCCGGGCGCCGTTGATGCCATTCTGCGACGCCCAGAGAATCTGGATGATGTCGAGGTGCAGAGTATCTTCAAGGAGGCCTCCTTCATTTTACTCCGGGCGGAGGAGGCGCTGGCATCGCGGGAAGCCGATGCGTTTTGTGTCCTTTTTAAGCTTTTCTCGGAGGGTCTTGCCCACAGCGCGGCCTCCTTTGGGAAAGGCATAGCGACGTTTGGGGAAAATGGTGCCCTTCTGCAGACATTACGCGATATTTTTCGCGTGGCGGTGGAGCAACGGGCTTTTCCTGTGCAATGTCCAGCCGTTATTGAGCTTGTACAGGTTGTTGGGAGTCTGTGCGATGGCAGTTGCATTAAAGACACATGTGGTGCATTGTTCATGGAGGGACTTGTGTACATGTTGGATGACATGTACCGTCGCAGCATTGAGGAGGCACATGCGGGTTTTTTGGCTCAACGTGCAGCCGCAACGGCCCTCATTAATTTGGTGAAAGGGTCCAAGCAGAATAAACAGAGAATTACCTCGTGGGATTTCTTGGCTGACTGCTGTGCGTTGAGCGTTGATGTCTTCTTCCAGTTGCAGTGCATCGAGCTCTTGTTTCGTCTTTCGCGCCACAACAAGTCACTTCTGCCACACATTTGCAGTCGTCTCCGTCCGCAGGTACTGGAGGATATCCGCCAGTTGCCAAACGACTCCACTCTTCTTACGAAAATGGTGGAATTGCTGCACAACATCAACGCTGGGAGGGAAGACATATTGTTGTTTCCATTGAGCCGTGCCGATGTCGCTTACACGACGATTATGGAAAACACCTTTTCCTATTTCACAATGAACTACTTTGTTGTGCTGGTGACGTCAAGCAATGCCGACAATGTCACTATTCCCTACAATTCGATCCGGTCAGTGACGCTTGGAAAGGATGGACGGGTTGTGTTTCGTCTTGATGAGTTTCCGACGAAGCTCGAGGCACTCTTGAACCGCGCGGCGGGCGAGGACACGATTGTGCTTTTTATGACAGTGGACCAGCTTGCCCTCTTCAAGGAGTCCCGCATACGTTCTTGGATTGTCTCTGCACTGGAGGCCAAAAAGGAACGCAAACGAAACGGCGCCCGTTCCGGTGCCGAGGCTGAGGCCGTGACTACCTCCGCGTCCCACAACGCACCCATTGGCGGGGGGACCAAGAGACAGCGATCGGATTCTCTCCAGCTGACGGGTGGCGACTCCCAAGTATTGGCAGTATTTCAGAAGATTATGAAGGCATCCGATGAAAATGCGAGTATGGTGCTTGAAAAGATGAAGCAGCTAATCAACAGTAAACATGAGTGTAGACAAGAGGAGGTTGCGGCCATCCTCAAGGCATCGATGGACGACATTCAGCGGATGGTTGATGAGGGGCATGTGGCCAACGACGGTGTCCGTGACACGCTCAGAGGGGGCGTGGAAGAGAGCATTCAGAGCATAGAGCAACGCCTTTTGGATTCCCAAACGAAGGCCGCAGGTGTTGTGGAGCAGCTGAATGTTGCACTTCAAGAACTGAAGAGCAGCAATACAGCCATTCATGAGCAGATTGCGTGCATAGAGATTATTTTGCAACAGTCACTGGAGGTGAGCCGCGAGGAGGAGGCGAGTATGTGCAATTCGCTGAAGGCTGATGGTGAGGAAAGCATTGAGCGAATCGAGGCACTCCTAGACCGCCAGCTTATCGGGCAATCAAACCCAATGAGCGTGATTTCGGAGTTTCTTAGAACTAGTACTGAGGGAAGTGTTCTTTAGTCTGCGGACTGCCTCGTAGCTGCCTTTTTTTTTTGCATTTTTTTTTTCTTTTTAATGTCATGTCCTTTCATTGTTGTTATTTTCTCTCTACTGTATTTTTTTACACGTTATTCTAAATACTGCCTCTGGACCATTGAACGAGCTTCCTTTATTTTTTTTGTATGTGTGTGTGTGTTTGTTTAGTGTTTGTTGGGTGACTAATTACAATACCGCTGATGTCGTGGGTTGTGGATTCTGCGGGGGCGCAGTTCCCACTGGCGATGGTGATGAAGCAACAGGGGGCACTCCCTACCTCCCAGACATTCACAGCACTCCCAGAGAATCATGTGCTACGGGTGTTTCAGTTGGGTGCCCTGCAGACACAGGCGGAATTAGTGGACATCCTGCGCAGTAGTTTGTTTGATATATTTGATTTGGATGCGCTTCAGTCGTACCGTTACGCGTATCAGGATGAACTGGTGTTTTTTCTTGACGTCATTCTGTACTGGGGCTCTACGTGGAGACGCTCACAATCCATAGGGGATCGTTTGGGGAACATCGTGATGCGTGATGAGACGAAAGCGTTGGAGAATGGACAGTCATCTGTGGTGAGGCTCGTGCCTTCCCTTGCACCAACGCGTGGCCGACTCCTGGTTCACGCCATACTGACCATTTTGGTCCCCTACCTTGTGCGGAAGCTGCAGCGAAAATCCATGGAGGAGGACTGGGAAGGTGAGAGCCCGGGCTCTCTCCGGGCCCGTGTGGCGAAAACCATTCGGCTAGCGTCCACTGCATGGGCGGCTTTTTCGCTGCTTCACACACTGCACTTTCTTGCCACAGCACAGTACCGCACCCTTGTTGAGCGCCTGCTTTCGCTTCGGCTGGTTTATGGCAGCCAGAGCACACAGCGGGTCACAAACCTGATGTATCTAAATCAGCATGTCATGTGGCAGACGTGGTCTTCCTTTTTAGCTGTGCTGAACATTGGGCGGTACCTTAGTCGTTTGACACGCTCGTTGCAGGCCTTCACATCGCCCTCGGGAAGTTTGACGCTAGGTGATAATGTCTGCTGTGCTTGTCATTCTCATCCGACCATTGGACAACGTTCGAACTGTGGGCATCTCTACTGCTACTACTGCATCAAAAGTCGACTGCTGGATCCCAGACTTGCTGGGTCGTTCCGCTGTCTCCGCTGTGGGACCACTGTTCACACCGCGTTCCCCTTGCAGTGAGATCCAGCAAAAACAAGCCTTCGAGCAAGAATGGGGTGCGCAGAGAGGGAACATGGGGTCTCTTTATACAGGATCCGAAGAGGTACCAAGAAAATACCACTGGTGGTGAAAAGGGAAATGAACAAAATAAAAATATTTGAGGAGGTGTGAAATTTTTTTTTTTTATTTCTCTAGTCTAAAATGATATTGTGGGATATCAGCTGCTGGGTCTGCCGTGATGAAGGGCCGTGGATGTTTTTAGACATAAAAAAAGGAAGATATATACACTATCTTTTTTTTTTTTTTTTTTTCTTTGTGTATGTGACATAATTGAAGTGTTTCTGTGTGAACTTTGGCATTTGTTTCTTCTTTACTTTTATTTATTTATATTCCTTTCTTTTTGATATATATATATATATATATATATATATATTTGATGGTTGCAGTGCTTTTTTTTTTTGTATGCGCATGGATCCTGCGGCTGGTGTTTTCTCCCCATTTCACGAGTTGGAGGGGAAAAACGGCCTGCTGGAGAATGCGGTTAAGTTGGGGACGAGTGAACACAGCCACGATGCCCAAGCCACCGCCTCCACTCCCACCGTAGGGCTGCGTGAGACTGGGAGGAAAAAAAACAAAGCGAGAGACGAAGATGCGTTTCGCCGTGGGACTCCTTGCGGGGGATGTGGAATGAATTACACAACATCGACAGTGCCAACGGGAGGGATGTACTTGTGTGTGGAGTGCGCCGCACAACTGGAGTCGAGGCCCAAAGGTTATCGATTCCCCCCTAATACACTGAAATGCTGCCCGGCTAGTGTAGCAGAAGGAGAGGATTCCGTCGTGCGTTGTTGCGCGTGCCGCAGTTGGTATCACTGTGCATGTCTGGATATCCATGACAGGGCGCTGAAGGAGTACTTGACGTTATCCACGACAAAATGGTACTGTCTGGAGCCTTCTTGCTGTGAGAAGGTTCTTCAGGAGAAGCTCAAGAAGAGGCGGTAAAAAAAAAACAAAAAACGACAAAAAAACGTGGTATACTCACGCGTGTGCCTGCTCCTGTTGATTGATTGTGTTATCAATTCCCAAGGTTGTGTTTTTCTTACTTGAGCTATGGGATCGGGTGAGGGAATTTGAAAGCGTGGTGCGTCTTCAATTATTTACTTTTCTCCGTACATATTGACGGAAGGATACTATGCATATGCATGCATTTTCTTCTTGTATATTCCATGTTATTTCTTTGGGGGGCTTTTAAAACTTTCCCTTTGAATAAAAAAATAAAAAATAAAAAAGGAGACAGAGAGATAGAATAAGAGCCACAGAGAAAAATGCTAATTCAAATGATTTCTTTTTTGGCGGTTGTTGTTCTTTTCTTGCCTTTGAACTGCGATGCCGTTTTACTCCTGGAATCAGTGGGACGTTCCTTGAACTTTACGCGTCAGGCGTCAAGAGAGACGCAAAGTGTTGTTTTTCGCACTGATGTCAGCAGACTTTTGGACTGGCACGTGGTACGCGGCGCTCAGGGACTGCAACTGCGTGTGGCTCTTTTGCTACGGTTTGAGAGTCCAACACCCTCAGAGAATACCGAGCCCTTTCTTGCTGTCATGGATGAAATTTTTATACACTGTCTTTATGCACCAATATCATTGAGTAATGCGGATGATGCTGTATCCGTCATATTTTCTACTTCCCATGCTACAGTTTATATCCTGTATCCATGTGGATACGATGATGCTTCTGCTTCGCTTCACATGCTGGCGGCACACTGGCGCGACGGGAATTTAAGTGTGACGTCGGACGAGCCCGTTCTTTCCCTTGGCGTGGCTAAGCGTTGGCTTCTTTCTCACGATAGCGGTGGGGCAGATGCCCAGTTACTCTATATACAAGGTCTGGATGGAGTAACAAGTGCAATTTTACTTGAAAAAGGGGACCCGTTTGGTGTGTACCCCTCCAGTATCTCACGACTGAAATTCCCACAGAAATCTACTATGAGGGATACAGAGCTGGTCTCATCGTGTTTTCTGCACAATGTCGGTGTGAGTGGTCTTGTGCGACATTCACGATTAGAGGAGACATTTTATTTTGAGCTCTACCGTATTTTTTCCTCGAAGCAATCGGCGGAGTTGCTCCTTGAAACTTCCACAACCATCTTTACGGATCTTGACTCTGAGGAAAGGCGTCACTGCAGCCTATCCTCGCGGGTGGCTTTCACTGGCTGCAGCCTCACTTTTTCGAGCACGCCGGCACTGCAGGTTGAGATCACCTTGACGGCGATGCTGGAGTCTCCCACTGCCAGCGGTTTACGGGAGATTGGAGGTTGGGTGAGGTGCGGCACGACGGTACTGAAGGGCAGAGCGGAAATTAAAGATGGGGGTTTGCATGTGCTTGTGCTGCCTCTTAGACGCGTCCAATTCAAACCGGCGGCAGAGATGGAGGGTGTGAGGGAGGAGGGGGAGCACACGAGAGGTCGCCTCGGTCATTGCACATTTCATCACAGCAACGACACGCTGGATTGCGACGGCGGCGAAGAGCCTGTTTGCTCCTGCAAGTGTGGAGTTTCGCGTCACTGCCTTGCATTACAACTGTGGTGGCGACCATCCACCGGTGTTGATCTTTTTTTTTGTGACTGGTTGGGTATGGGTTTATTTGAGGGTTTTACTTTTGTTTTTGTTCTTTTCACAGTAACGTTTGTCATTCATTTTGCTGCGAGACTGTTGCTTCTGCACCGCCATTTATTTTTTTTTTTCTTGGTTTGAACAGATTGTTTTGAAAAGTTTTGCGACCCCTTGTATTGGTTTACTGCTGGCGTTTGTCTGTGTGTCTCTGTCTGTGTCACTGAGCAGGTATGCTCTTTCATTTCCTTTTTTTTTTGTTACTGTTGTTTTTTGCACGTGGGGTGGGCGGAAGGCTGTACGCCCCTTTTATCTGGCGCCTGCATTTGTATTTCTCAGTTTGAAGGTGGGATGGAGAACAAGGCGCCCGGCACAACGGAACGTCCCGGTGGATACGCAACAGCGGGTGGGGCGTCCGCGCATGAGAACTTTTTTCACCCTCGAAAAAAGATGAATAAGAGCGTTCAACGTGCAGGTCTACGCTATTCTCGACGGGTCGCGGTGTGGTTTACAGCAGGCATTACTCTGTTTCTCGTAATCCCCAGTTACTTTGGTCCTCTTTATGTAGAGTATGTGTCAGGAAAGGATTGGCTTGAGAGGGCGAATAAATCAATCTGGACGCGGCGGAATGAGAAGGACTACGATTTGTACATGACACAACGCCAAAACGGATGGCTGGAGTATCTTGGCTTAAAACATTATAACATCAGCGGTGAGGAGAATATAGGTGAGATTCAAGCATATCGGCGTGGAAAACAATAGGAAAGGGGATGGGGAATGTTTTGACACTGTGTGGTGTTTGTTGAAGGTCTGTCATTAGAAAAAAAGAATATCTTTTCCCTTTTTTTCTTTTTTTTCGGGTTGGGGTGGGGTGGGGGGATTTCAACGAATATGACTCATTTTGTGGTTTTCTGCTTCTTCTGATGCTTGGCTTTTTTTTTTTTTTGTGTGTGTGTGTGTTGTGTTGGGTGCTTATCGCTTTACATTTGTGGTGAGTAGTTTCGCTGTTGGGAGGGGGAGGAGAAGAGGAGGATGGAGCCGAAATGGTGGCGGCAGCTTGAAAAAAACGTTCAGGAGAAAGTGGCGGACGTGAATTCGCCAGCGGTGCAGCGTTTTATTCGTGAGTCGTTCAAAAGGAACAAATTTACGAGTGCTCTGATGCTTTTCGCACTCCTCACACCGTCAGCGTTTCTTCTCTCCTTCTACTCCTCCAAGTTTGCCTCCGTTTGGGAGAATTGGCGCGACCCGTACGAACTGCCGCCGGGCTTCGACCCAAAAACCGGACAATTTGTTTTGGATGATGCACCGAAGAGGCGCGCAGAGCTGCCGCAGGCCCTGGTTTTGAAGACTGTGCCCGGCAAATGAAGGCGTGGGCCTTGCGACGATGGCCGCAGCGCGTGCCGAGGCGGCACACATTCTGGTGGTGGAATTGGCAGGAGAGTGAGAGAAAGAGAGCGTGACTGTTAATATGTTTATATATATATATGTGTTTGTGTTGATGTTTTATTTTCTTTGTTCTTTTTTTTTTTTTTTGCATTATGGGTTGAATGCAGTGCCGCCCTTCATGAAAATTATTAGCGATGTCTATCGGCAGACATTTCCAAAGAAGCTCCGTTTTGATAAGGCGTGCTTGATTCTCCACGCTGAGCTTCTAATGATTGCACGGCGGCACAAGCACAAGAAATACATCCCGAAGGAAGAGATTTGCGATGTGCTGAACCAATACGAGCCGTTGCCCGGCTCTCCGTGGCTGCAGCTGCCAGTGATTCGTCATGTTCTTTTGATTCGGCCGATTAACAGCGTACGGGTTTTGCTTGGATGGCGCTCCTGGCTCATCAACAGATCCGTGGATGAGGAGTTTCACCGTGTGAAGAGGTGGATGACAGTGCAGGAAGGAACGGGCGCCAAAAATTTCAAGGCGCATCGCATTTCCGGTTTTGTTTTACGGGAACGGTTTGTTGCCGAGGTGTTGGACCCGTTCCATGTGGCTGGCATGTACCAGCGGATGATGCGCTGGGGTTTGTTTGTTGTTATCGTGTTGCTTCTGTTTATCTTCGCGTCTCTGAATTTGGATGCCCTTGTTTACTTCTTTTTGGTCCGTTGGTGTGGGATGGGTCGGAAAGAGGTGTTCGAATGGTTTCGTGGCATTACAGAGAGACACCTCATAACGGAGGTGCCGCCGGCGTACAAGACCCTGCTACCACTGCCCTGTGTTCTGCACATGCCATCTGACGGGGTGGAACGATATGAGACAAAGATTTTGGAGCTTGTTTCACCGGACGAAAATATTGTTGTTATGGCGATTCCGTGTCCACAGGTGGGAAGTAAGAAATTTTTTGCCGCCGTTGGAAAGGCTGCTTCGCTATGCGATGCTGTCATGATGGAGGGTGTGTCTTTTGAATACATTGATAGGATCGTACCGGCTGCTTTTCTTCCACTGCGAGATAATACATTTCCTGCATTGGGGTTACATCATCGTTTTATTGACATTGTTCGCGGTAAGCGGGAACCGCCATTTTTGTACCCGACAGTTTCAGAGATGACTTGGAAGGTCTACTGGACTCAATTTTTTGTGCCGTTTGAGTGGCGTTGCGTCTATTCGCCCACAAGCTTTTCTGCATCGAAGGGTGAGGCGAAGATGTGCTGGGGGCGGCTGCGGGAACTGATCGAGACGGTCAGCGCATCTCAGGCAGATGCGGGAGAAGGGGGAGCAGAACCGTACGTCATTTGCCTGCCATGGACGTTGCACCAGATTGTGAACTTGGAGGCCAGCCTCATTAAGTACGGATTTCGGGTGGGGCGGGTTTTCTCCATGGAGTGGATGGATCGTGATTACATGGGCAGACACTTCTGCGACTACTATGGCATCGCAGAGGGATAGAGCAGGGGTGGGGGGTATGCCTCACATTTTTTTTGTTCTTTTGGTGTTGCGATGTTTTATTATTATTATTATTACTATTTTATTTATTATTTCTTGCCTTTTTTTTTTTTTTTTTGGTCTCTTTTGGCATTTTCTGTGCTTCTTCTTCTGATGCTGCTGCCGTCTTTGTTTGTCGCCAACTTTTTTGTTGTTTTTGTTGTTGTCCACTTCATTTCTCATCTATGTTAATATATATGTATATATATGCATGCCCACACATACATACATGGAAAGTGTGTTTGTCTGCTGATGGAGAGGACGCCATCTGCGTAAACAGGGAAGTAACAGAGGGAAGACGCCAACACGGCAATAAGTCATGTCAGGTTTCTGGTCTGTTCAGCGTGTAGGTAACATCCGTGTGTGTTTTGGGGGTGCTTTGTGCTTTGGACCGGACTATGCATTCATGATTGCAACAATGCTGCTGATTGTTGTATGCTCTCTTCTGTTTTTGATTTATACAACTCTGCTGGGTGCGCGTGTTGTTTGCGGGTGTGGTGCCGTGGTGACGCTTGGATTTATGTTTCGCTGCGCTACGATAGATCCTGGCATCTGCCCAAAGGACGCTTCCCTGCTGGAGGGCGCGCCCCCCCGCGAAGCCCCAGTGGAGGAGGTCTTCTACGTTGATGCGCATGGACGAGAACAACACGCCTCTGTGGAGCGCAAGTGGTGTTACTGCTGCAACAACTACAGGCCTTTGCGTGCCATTCACTGTCGTTTTTGTGATGTTTGCATTGCCCGCCGTGATCATCATTGCCCGTGGGTGGGGACGTGTGTCGGCGAGCGCAACTACAGGTTTTATTTCCTTTTTTTGTGGTCAACACTGTGCTTGACTCTCACGGTCTTGACGGGCGGGATATGGAGCCTTGTAGGGCGAATGAAGGTGCTCTCGAGGGAAGTGTCGTATGCGAACAGGAGCGCCTTTCTTGGTGCCCTTGCGGAAACGCATTATGTGGAGCCCCTGCTGGTGCTGGTGGCGATTGTCACGTGCTGCCTTGTCTTTCCCCTGGCTGCCTACCACACGATGCTTGTCGCACGGAACATGACAACGGTGGAGGAGATGCGCGGGGAGAGTGGGCAGGTGCACTACTACGACCGCGGCTACTGCCTGGAGAACATGAAGGCATCGCTCTGCGCACCGATTCCGCCCTCAAACCTCGTCCAATTAACGCGGCAGTGCACTTCATCCATGAATATTGTCGTTGAAACAGCAGAGGTGTGAAGACGCCCTAGCAGACACAAAAACACACACACACACACACACACACACACACAAATGCGTTTGTTTTGGGGGTTATTCCCGACAAAAAAAAAAGAAAAAAAACAAAAAGGGGAAAACGAGAGCAAAGCCGAAAAAAAACAACAAAAAAAACAAGAAGAGAAGAAGGTGGAAAAAGAAGTTATGCGACGAGTTTATCATGTTTTCTTTTTTTCCTTTTAACGAAGCTCGTATTTCCTTTCTGTTTCCATTGCTTTTCCTGGAAGAATTGCTTGTGGTGTCGCTGCCGACGTGAAATTGCGTTTCTCTTTTGGGGTCTACTGTTGCTGTTCTTTCCTGCTGAGTTGCGGTCTTTCTCTCCTTTTTTTCTTTGCTTGGCGGCGGAGGCTTCTGTCATAGGAACATAACTGAGAGTTTGTTTATATATTTATTTTCTGTGTGCGTGTGTGTTTCTTTTTTTTTTTCTTTTTTCCTTCTTTTACCCCCATTTGGGCCCAATGCAGCCGGCGACGGCACCTTACATTTTGCGTTCCCTCTACAAGGACGAACACATTATTGACAATCATGTCACCCGCCCACTCACCGGTCTCGTGACTGCTCTCTTCGGTGCCCACTGGACGAACCGTTATGATTCACACCTAAGCAACTTAGCAAAGGGGTTGTATGTCGTCCTTTCACTCCTCCGTGGGCAGACACTTGGGGAGGAGTTCTGCGACCTGCTTCCCGTCACCCGCGGAATCCCCACACGAATGATGGGAATAACCCGAAAGCTGCTTCTCGCTCTGTTGCTTGCACTAGAGCCTGTGGCACTCTTTCAGTTTGCCGTCAGGGTGTTTCCTGCCGTTCCGCCACACGATGTTATCGCCAATGTACGGAAATTTACTTTGATGCTGCTTTTCTTATTTGAAACATACGGGACGCTCGTCCACCGCCTCTTGGGGGTGCGTCATTTGAGTCTTTTGCCGTCGCAGAGGCTGCAGAACGATGACGGAGCCCCATACACGTACTTTGGACTGGGAATCTTGGTGCTGCTTGAATTGATTGTTCGACTGTGGCGCTACATGGAGAGACGACGCCTAGCGCTTCAGCAGGGTTCTCACTATGACGTGTCTAGGGATGAGGAGAGTCAGGAGCATGAGGACAGCGACGCCGATGACAATCAAAATGCGGCTGCAGGTAAGTGCATGTTGTGTCTGAGCAATCGAAAGCAGCCCACGGCTACTTCATGCGGTCACATCTTTTGTTGGCGCTGTCTATTGGATTGGATCAAGTCGAACTCACACGGTGCCATCTGTCCCTTTTGTCGGCGACAAATCACGGTGCAGTCATCGGTGCCACTGTACCTCTATGTAGCAAAAGAGGCACCGACAGCGGGTGGTGTTCATGACACGTCTGCATAGTCGGCAGGACCCCTGGGGAAGCTCAACACGGCAACGATACACGGATAGAAGAAGGGAATTGTTATCCAACGCCTTTGGGCATTTCTGTTGGCACGCGTTATTCATCTCTATTGAACGCAATTTATTTATTGGTTGGAATCAATACGAATCTTTGTAATAAAATCAATTGAATTTGCATGTTTTTTTTTCACTTGTCCTTTCCTACTTCTATTGTACACCCTCCACTAACACATTTTTTTTTCCCGTGTGTGTTTACTATTACTTTTTTTTTTTTTTTTGGTGGTGTGCAGGAGTGTCAGGAGTGAGAATGGCTGTGGCCCGTGCGGAGAGCATCGTCAATGCCGACTTGGGAGCGGTCGAGGTGAATCTGGAGGGTGTTGGACTGGAGTCGCTGGAGCCTGTCCTCCCGCTCCTGTCGAGATTGCCGCGACTGAAGGCTCTGCGACTGGCGAGGAACAAACTGACAGGACTTCCAAACGACCTCACCGGTATTTGTCAGTTGGAGTACTTGGACCTGTCCGCGAATCCCATCACAGGCGCGAGTACCATCATGCAAGGACTGTCTGGCCTTGCCATTTTAAGGCATCTGTATGTGGATCTGCCATGTGAGAGCGAAGAGGATGAAGTTATTGTTGCCGTGCAGTCACTGGAGAGTTTTAACGGGACATCCCTGACGGAGGTCTTTGAGGAAGTGAGAGGCGCGATGGAAGGCGACAAAAGTGACGACGGGGATACTTCTCCAGCACCCCGCATATTCGATGCGACGGACACGTCGGTGCTAGACGAGGCACCGATATATGGACAAGAACAACAACGGCAGCAGCAGCAGCAGCAGCAATACAGCTCCACGCAGTTTCAGCAGTGGAAAGCGGAGGACACGAAAAACATACAAGGCCTCTACACACTAGTGACGAATTTTACCGGAAATGTTTTTACCCAGAAGGAATTTAACATGTATGTTGCAAACGTTGTTCGACACCTCTGTGCCCTTACGGCAGCCGAACCAGACCCATCAAGCCGTGAGGGTGAGAAACTGAAAGCGAAGAAGGTCCTCTACGAGTATTGTCTTGAAGAACTGTGCCGTGTAGTGAGTGGGAGGGACGCTGTGCTTGGACGGGCCCTCACAGAAATTGCGAAGGCACAAGCAGGTCTCCTGGAAAGCTACGACCGTCTATGGCGCCGTATCACTGAGGAAATGAATGGTCGTATTGCCGTCATGAAAAAAGACATGCAGGACGCTATTCAAGAGATAGAGTCACTCATGGGTCAACTGGGCCAGAAAGAAAATGACAGCAACGGCGGCAGCGGTACCAATGCCGTCAATGGGATGGAACTGCAACGACTTCAAGAGGAGGTTGGAAAACTACGGACAGAGAACGAACGTCTGCAAACAAAGCTGCGTTTGGTGGAGGCATCGGCATGTAGCCCGGACGCCGTGGCCCCTGGGGCGTTACGAAACTCTTCGGCCTCTGCAGATCACTCCCGGATATCGCCGTCCGGTTCACGGGCGCCGCAGTCCGGAAGCAAAGTGTTGACACTGAAACAACTCAAGCAGGCAATTGAGGATATTTACGCATCAAAGAGTAAGTACGACATCAAGTGCTCTGAGAGTCATCTTCCGCGTGAGACAATGGAGCAGCATATGTACACTTATTTGAACCAACGATATGGCCTGAAACATATTATCCTTGATTGGGCTACCGCCATCATTCAAGGGATAAAGAAGTACAATCTGGAAGATAACGACGTGGCCGTTTTTGGAAAAATTCTTCGTAATGAAATTGATGAGGAATTTCGTTTTGTACAGCGACAAGTACGTGAGACGGTGCATGAGTTGCTTCGTGTCTACATAAAAGGAAAGCGACCGTCAAAAAGTGACACGGACATCAATAAAATTGTTCAGAAGAAGACCAATGGCACATTGTTGGAAGACGAGTGGGTTGACATTGTGAAGTACATGTACAATACAGAAGATGCGGTGTCAATCATCATGCGTGTGAGAGATTATTTGCGTCAAGTCTCACAGCCACGCCGTCGCAGTTCGATTCAGAGAGGCCACGAAATCGCATCCATTCACGACGTTCAGCTTCCATATGCGGAACTCATTCGCATTCTTTTGGATTTTCAACTGGAAGGACACGAGCGTTTTCTGGCTCGATTTCATTCCATTTTCTGTCGTCACGATGCGGACCGCAACGGCATCGTGAATGCGCAAGAGTTTAATGCCATCTTGAAGACCGTTGACGCTTCCAAAACCGACGAGGAAATTGAAGCCCTGCTGGAGCTTATCGATCCCTTTGGGAACCAACTCATTACGTATTCGGAGTGTGTGACATTTCTTAGTGCTGAAATTGTCAGGATGATGAAGGCGGTTGAGTGAGTCTTCTCCGCCCATGCCTGCAAACAAATAAATACACACACGCAGACACACACACACCCTTTTTTTTTTTTTTTTCCTTTCTGTTTTTATTTTACAGCCTTATCGACCACGGTGGAAAAGAAGGGGCAGATGGCAGATGGTGTTGTGGTGAAGCGGACAAGAACATGCCTTCCCCTTCTTTTAAGCCATTAGGGAATACTAGACGACATTTTATAAGTAAGTGATGATATATATATATATATATATATATATATATATATATTGCTGTTTTTTTCTTTTTTAAACTGTACCGTTTTTGTAAATGTTTTCTGGACCATAATTTTTGTTCTGCTATTGATTGTTATTATATATATATATATATATGATGTTAGAGGATACTTTTCCTTTATTTATATTATTTCGGTTTGTGAGAGGAATTGTGGCTGAAGTTGGAAACAAACAAAAATCCCCTTTCTTTTTAATGTATTTATTTGTGTATCCGTTGTTTGGGGTGGGGTGCTTGCTGGTCGCTTATATAGTCCGTGTTTTACACCCACTTTGATAACGGCCCTCCTATTAGAGTGTAGTGATATGGAAGACGTGTCTACGCTGCCTGTGAGTGCCGGTGCCGCGACGCATGTCACGACGCCTTTTCCCGTTGACCATATGTCCATCACAACGGATGAATTGTCGTCTCTCTTCTCCTTAGCGCGGGGCAGCAATGCAAACACGCGGCCGCCTCCGTCTACCCCGAAGGAGATTAAGAAGGCAATGGAAAAGGTTCAAGCATTCAAACCGACGCATCTGAATGGATTTCTTCACGGCTACTTGTCTGGCCGCGCGCAGGTCGCCGAAGAGGCTCTCTGCAGCATTCGTCAACTGGCCGTGAGGTCCAACTGCGACTGGCTTTATCAGTGTCAGTTGCTCGCACTGCGGCTGCTACTAGCCGAATTGGAGTCGCGTAGCAGCGGCGTTGTGCCTAAAACGAAACCCGAAGATTTGCCGCTACTTTCCCAGCTGCGAAGAAGTTTTCCCGAGTATCAAGGAAAGGCACCGTGCATTACTTTCAGCAACTGCCATTTTCTCTTTGTGGGAGAGACGAGCCCTGAGGGCGAAGGGCAAAATAAAAGTGATTTTTCTGCCGAGGTTTCCGTGCGGAACCAGGGTGGTTCACGGTGTAGCGTCAAGATAAGTGAGGTGCACGCCTTTATTGATGGTGAGGTGGTTTCAGGCGAGTATCTTGGCTGTGCACGTATGGAGGAGCGGAGCATTCGTTCTGGCGAGGCGACGACGTTTCACTTCATCCTGAAGCCAATCCCAAGACGTCATGTTTCATTGTTTGAACAGTTGGTTGTGCTTAGTGTCGATACGTACGTGAAGATATTTGTGACATTTATTGTAGTGTCAGAAAAACAAAAACCATTTTGCACAGGCTTTCCCCGGTGTCTCGCTATTACCGTACGAGATTCACCTGTTGGCGTGTACACATGCCCCCTGATGTTACAGTTGATAAAGCATCAATTTATTCGCCAACAAGGGCTTACGAGTAAAACGATAGCTCATCTGTTGGTCGGGAAGTCTGGGAATTTTATTACTCACAACCGTGAAGTCATGCGGGAGGCGACACGCGTGAAGGAGATATTAGAGGAGGAGATGGATTTTGCGGAGGTGCTAGCAACGTACCGGTCTTCCTTACCAAAAAATAATCGCGGAACTGCAGAGCTGCCTTACTCTTCCGCACAGCCTGCAGGTTACCTCCCCGGTAGTGTGTTGCCGACAGCAGTTGCCGCTGTTTTTAGTATGTCATGCTTTCCAAATGCCGCAACTCGACTCCCTGCAGCTCTTACGAACGCCCAACCTGATGTTTTGATGGGCCTGACGTTGATTTGGTTGGCGGAATTAGATGCGACTGTGTTTGATGCATCGTTGTTTGCCTGTGATCCGATGAATTACCTGGGAATGCTTCCTCCCCATTTGCAGGGTGTGATCTTTTGGATTCTTGACCTCTGCGGAGGTCTCCTTATTCACAGTGGCGTGAATGGGACGTCGTTAAGACATTTGGCATTGACCTTTGCTGCCGTGTTGATGCGAAAGAAACGTCTGACGGATGACGCCAAGGCTGAAAGCGTATTCAAAGAAAGAGTTTTTCACCAGGGCGCGGTAGAACCTTCGGCTGATACCATGCTTACAGATGTCGCTCTTCATCAGGCTGCCGTCACAGCATTTGTGCACTGGATTACGGTTTACCGTGCCTCTTACGAAAGTTACCTTTTACTTTGACGTGGAATGTTTTTTTTTTTTATTATTTCTTTTTGTTGTGTCACGTCCTGACATGGTGATGCAGAGAAGATAAATTTTCCTTTTTTTTTTTTTTTTGTGTGTGTGTGTGGAAACTGCGGTATTTGATTTATTTATCGTCTCTCTTTGTCTCTCTTTTTTTTTTGCTTGCGGTGGTCGGTTTTGTGGTTTGAATAGAATTGGAGAGGAGGCTCTGCGCCCGCATCTGGGAATGGAGCTACAGAATGAGGGACAAGCAATGGTGCATCCACTGGCGCGATGGTTTGCGGGGCTCTCTGCTCCCATGTCACTTCGGGATCAGCAAATGGTGAGGAAAGGCCTGACAAGGGTTTTTTGTGTCTTTCTTTTCCTTCCGCTGATTGCAGGTTTTTTTTTTGAGCACATTGGTATGGTCTTCTACGGCGTGGTCATGGGGTGCGTCGTGTCCCTTGTTTTGTTTGGTCCCAACTGGTACCAGCGTGAGGACCCTGACCAGCGGTGGTGCGATGAGGCTGAGGTGAAGGAGTACTACCGCGTCCGTCAGATGCTTATAGACGAACTTGAGGAGGAAGAATCGAACGAGGAGCTGCAGGCGCTTACAAAGAATAGGGCTGAGGGAGATGTCGAGGAGAAAATGTAGACAAAACAAAAGGATTGTGTGCGATTATGTGCGTGTGGAGGGAAAAAAAAATAAATGATGGACCGTACTCTTTTGGTCGATTGTTTACCCCACAGTAAATGTCTTTTCTTTTTTTTACTCTTCTTTCTCTCTCTCTGTGTGTGTGTGTGTGGGTTTGAACGCCGGTTTTTTTTTTTGTTTTGTTTTCATGGTGGCTGTTGCTCTTGAATTTTTTTTTTTTGTGGTTTCCCGCATTTTGTTGATTTGTTGCCTTTGCGTTTTTACCGTCATTTTATTTTATTATTTTTTGTTATTTGTTTGTTTGCATCACAATAAACAGTCTGTTGTCTTGCTTAGCCAGATGAGGCGATGGACGGGAGAGTCGGAGAGCGACTCGGATCCAGTGGGGGGCGAAAACCCCCTTCTGCCATTGGGAGAATTCTGCGGGAGCGGCAGCATTTTTTTTGGATCCACCGCACTTGGAATGACGTCAACATTGGCGACACGACTACTACCACCACCACCACCAGCACCACCACCACAAGCAGCAGCAGCAGCAGCAACGATTTCCAGCAGCAGCATCACAGCAGTACCGGCAGAAGGTGGCCGTAATGGCTCCTCCGTGCCGCGAGACGGGGAGGGAGCCCCTGCGGCCGTTTCCTCTTCCCCAGAAAGTAAGCCGGAAAAGATGTGTATTACGATGGAGTTTGGTGACGAATATAATGGTGAAGTCAAGATGGACAGGGGAACGGCGATCCCGCATGGTTATGGGACGCTGCAGTCGTCATCGGGCAAACACTGCTACGTTGGAGGGTTTGTCAACCGTAGCCGTGACGGGGACGGAAAGTTACTGACCGAGCGCTACGTGCTTTGGTCCAAATGGAAGATGAACCGTCCAGATACGACAAACCAGGCCCGTATTGACTACCCCGATGGCAGCAAGTACTGTGGCTTCTTGACGTGGCGGCAGGATAACGCGGCGTCACAATATCCTTCTCGAGGTCCAAAGACACGACACTCAAAATTTTCGAATTGGGTTCAAATGAACACGCCGGTGCGGGAGCGATGGGGAGAACTTGTTGGACCAAACGGCGACCGTTACTTTGGACAGTGGGAGAACAATTTACCGTCGGGGTTCGGTTGTCTCGTGACAAGTGGTGGTGATCGTTATGTGGGTTTGTTTGAGGAGGGGAAATTTCACGACACGGGGACACTTTTTTCTTTGCACTACGGGAGGCAAAATACTTGTCACTCCCTCTTGGATGGAGCGACGTTTGCGGGGTTGTGTGAGGCGCATTCAAGACAGGCTACCGAAGTCGGAGAGGGAAATGACAGGGAAAATGAGGAAAATGATCACGCCGAATCCACGTTGGCGATGAAGGGGCTCGAGAAGGAAAGATGGGGCGGTGTTATTTTTGACGGTGTGTGGGAAAAAGGTCGCTTTGTGGGTGAGGGGTATGCCACTTTGCCGTGCGGCACAAGAATCTTTGCTGAGTGGAAGAGCTCGACGTATCCCACTAACGGTCGTGTGTTTCTTGGTTCCTTTTACAACCGCCCCCAAGCGGGAATGAATGCACGTGGATGGTTTCAATGTTTTCATTGGGAACCGCTGCTCTGTGGCACCTGTGAGGAACTAAAGGCGCAGGAATACGCTGCGTGCGCGTTGTACCGTGAACGATTACATAGTGCAACAACACAGGAAGAGGTGCAGGCGGTACTTGCCGATTTTTGTGGCAACCAGGGCGCTGTGCGAAATGCATTGAAATTGTTTCGTCGTTGTTTTTACTTTCTTCATGGAACCTGTGGGAAAAGTAGTGAAATTGGCGCCGGGTTATGCTTGAATAAACTCGGATGGTGTTATCTGCGTAAAACATACGGGGGCTGCATTCACCGACGACATGGGCGTCCTATAATAGTAGGCGACGTGGACTTGGCAATGACGGACATCATTTCCTTTGTGCGCTCTGTGGAACGCTGGGTGGTGGCGATGCTGGGCGATGCCGCGGTGGCCGACAACAGCTCTGAGATCTTCGTTGCACGCAGGGTCTTGGATTATGTCCTTCGTGACACCCACGATGTTTTGTTGAACCTCTACCTGCATGCTTTCAAGGAAGAAGATGCGTCACTGTCCGTTGCGCTTGAGCGGCTACGGGAGCAGACCACGCTTGACGACATGGGCGTTGTGTTTGCCCGCCAGCAGAGTGAAGAGCAGCTTTTTGATCCATACGCGGACGCGATTCATGTTATCGAGCAGTTGGAACGGAACGTGCACACGTTCACCGGCAAGCTGCGCGTTCTGGCGCAGTGGTCAAGGGAAATTGATCTTGCTGCGCGGCTGGCACAAGTGAACCTTGACGAAAAATCGCTTTCTTTACTTCCACGGCGTCAGATGCACCTCGAGTCAGGCTCCGCGGATGATCTTCTTCCCATTTACCAGTACGTTCTGATTAAGGCGAGGCTGCGTCACTTGTATGTTCACGCCAAACTATTGGTTGATCTAAGTAGTGAGGACATGTTTATGGAATTTACTTCCCCGGAGAATTTTTTTGTCACGACGCTGCACGCGTGTACGACTATATTGGCGAGCTTGCATCCGCTCTTGCGTGACAATTGCCAAATTCTTGCGCCTTCTTCCTTTTTTGAAGAGCAACTTCGCTCCGCAATTCGTTCCGTTAAGCGCAGGGCTACTCAATTCCTGGACGTATTTTCAGCACACACGAGTGGGATTTGTGCCGTGTATGATGCAGATGAGTTGCGTGATATTGCCGTGGGGTACATTAGGGCGTGGCTTCCGGAGACTTTGGATGCTCTCCCTACACGGAATTGCACGCAAACAGAGAGAAATAGCCTTATTTTAAAAGTTTCGGAGCTGCTGAAGAGTGCGACGGCAAGAAAGTTCTCACATCTGCATGATTGTCAGTGTCCACGCGGTGTAGCAATTTTTTGCTGGCTTACTGCGGCTCACATTGTGTCTGTACTCAAGTTGCGTCTCGGTATCCTAGCGGCAAACCAAACAGATGAGCCCGCTGGCGTGCTGTGGGTGGAGACGGATGTGACTGTATTTCTCGAGCGGTACTACCGCCTTGACGTCCAGAGAAAAAAGGGCAGCCGGATGGGTACAGACGACGCTCTTGTCTTGCTTTTGCAAGAACCACTACGGCCATCGCTTTTACACCTTGCAGCATCAGTGTTGTTGGTGGCGTTGTGACGTGTTTGCATGTCCATACATATATCTTATACGTGTATTTACATATACGTGTTTATCTGCTTTTTTTTTTTTTTTTTTTTTTTTTTTTTTAGGAGTGTCAACAGCTCAAAATGGAGGACATGAACATTGCGGCTATGCCATTCGTACAGCCTGCACACAAAGACACAAACGTACCCTCAGATAGAAAGCCCGCGGAATAAAAGGCCTTTGGTGTTTGTGTGTGTGTAGTTTTTCTTGATTTTGTTGTTGTTGATGATGATGATGCCTAATGAATATGTTTTCTTTTTTCTTTTCTTTTCTTTTTTGATTTTGGGGATTGAAGAAAGTCATAGTACCTGCACACAACGATTCTTTTTTACATACACACACCGCAGTAAATATCTCATTTATTGCATAAACACTCGTAAATATTTATTTAGAAATATACATACGTATTTATTTGTTTTCCACTGGGGACGGGGAAGTGGGAAAAAAAGCAAAAAAAAAAAAAAAAAAAAAATGTTTTTGAAGCTTTTCAAAAGGGACAAGAAGGAGAAGGACGAAGAGCGTTCGGGCGAAAAAGCCAGCGAGAAGAAGGTTGGTAACAATAACCATATGGATAAAAAGGCACCACCGCAGGAAAAAGTGACAAAGGATGACTTTGAGAGTCTGGATGTACTTGGGAAAGGTTCTTTTGCGTACGTAGTCCTTGTGCGTCGCATAGGCACGAACGAATATTACGCCATGAAAGTAGTGAACAAACAAGGACTACTCGATCACAATCGTTATCGCGATGTATTTGTTGAACGCAATGTATTGTCACGTACCAATCACCCATATCTTTTGAAGCTTTACTGGACCTTTCAGTCGGAGCATAAGTTGTTTTTTGTGATGGAATATATGCCAGGAGGCGATTTAGACAAATATATGAACAACCTTCCTTCAAAACAGGTTGATCTTTTTACAGCAAAGCTTTACGCGGCTGAAATTCTTCTTGCATTATTATTTCTGCATGAACACAGTGTCATTTATCGTGATTTGAAGCCGGAGAACATACTTTTAACAGGGGATGGACATTGTGTTTTGGCTGACTTTGGTCTTTCGAAGGATTTTTATAACCCAAAGGAGGGTGGGGATGCATCTACGAAAGATATGCGGGCAAATTCTTTTGTTGGTTCGCCGTTTTATGTTGCGCCGGATGTACTCAAACAAAATGAGTACACAAACGCGGTAGATTTTTGGTCGTTTGGCATCTTATTGTACCGCATGCTTTGTGGACGTACACCCTTCAATGGAAAGAGCATGAGGGAGGTCTTTGACAACATTCTTTACTCGGACCTCCGTTTCCCCAGCAGCGTGCAACTTCCATCGGAGGCGAAGGACCTGATCAGCCGACTTCTCATAAAGGACGCCAACCGCCGCATCAAGGGCCCGGAGATCAAAGCACATCTTTTTTGGACAGGCATCAACTTTGACGAGGTGATGGAGAGGAAGGTGAAGCCGCCAAAGTGGGTGCCAATCCCATCGCCAGAGCAAGTGATGGCAGAGCGGGCGAAGGCGGAGGGCGCATCCACCTCGGCCAAGAATCCCGGGCAACTTGTCAATACGCCTGCGCAGTCGTCACAACTGAACTCGCGGCAGCAGCAGCTTTTCACGGGGTTTTCATGCACAGCGGATAACCACTTGAATAAAAATTAGGTCTTTTTTTTTTTTTTTGTTTTGTTTTGTTTTTTATTTTTCTTTATTCCCCAGCGAGGGGAGTGTAAAATGAGACACACGGGGACGGCGAAGGCGCGAGGGAACGACGAGGGTAGAAAAAAAAAAAAAAAAAAAAAGGGACCAACGCCACCACCACCACCACCACCAAAACAGCAGCAAAAGATAGGGGAAAAAAAGGGAATGAGGCGAGAGAGGAAAAAATGAGGGAGAGAGAAAAAAGAACAGAAAGAAAAAAAAAAAAAAAAGGAAAGAGAGAGAGAGAGGGTCAATAAAGAGGAAAGAGTGTCTTTTTTTTTTGTGTGTGCGTGGTTTTTTTTTTTTTTTTTTTTGCTTTAATCTTCTTTATTATTATTGTTATTATTGTTGGTGTTGTTGGTGTTTCCATCTGAGGAGGAGGAGGGGGGACGGGGACGGGGATTGTGGAACGAGGATGGAGTGCATGCCTCATTTATATGCGTAACAACTGAGCGCTGCGTTTCTTTTTTTTTTTTTTTTTTTTTACGTTTTGTGTCTTTTTTTTTTAATGACTTTTCTTTTTTTTATTTTTATTGATTTCTGTTTTGTGGGTGTTTCACGCCGCACTGAAATGTGGCCCCTTTAAATTGACTTCTCAGCAGGTCGTCAATCTTGAGGAGCCCACCCCTTTTCCCCTTCCTTCTCGTTCTTTCCTTTTTATTCTGCTTCCCTGTTCCTCTTTTTTTTTTTTTTTCTTTGTTTTTGTTGTTGTTTTTTCTTTTACTCGCTTTCGGCCTTCTCCCTGTTTGTCCGTCTCCGCCCCAAACTCGCAGCGGCCCATTCCCTGCGGGAGCCAACAGATGCCACCACCACCACCACCACTGCGACTGTTATGACGACTACGTGTAGTTGTGGGATCTTCACCCTTTGGGCTTCGACGGAAAAATTTTGTAACGCTGCGGTCGTGTGTGTTTTTTGTGTGAGTGAGAATGTGAGCATGTATGCGTGCGTGCCCTCTCTTTCTCTTTTCCTTCTTTCCCCTCTCTTCTCTCTTGTTTTCTGTTTTTTTTTTTTTTTTTCTTCCCTTTGATCTACCTGTGCGACTAGAGAGGAAGGAAAGGGCCTCCTGTTCCCCTCAACGTTCACCAGGGGCACACCGAGGTGCTGCTGCTGCGGTTTATTTTTATGCCTATACGGAAACGGGGATCGGCGCGTGACGAGGGGATGCGGGGCCTCTCCGTCGCGGCAGGGGAAACGTCGCCGTCGTCCATCGGCAGGAATCGATTAGCCTCACGCATATCCGAGGTGGCATGGGAGAAAACTCGGCGTCACGGAGGCTTTGCGAGCGTTGTGGATCCCCTTCTTTCTCTCCTTATGAGACTTCGACGAGTACAGCTGTCTGTCGTTTACGCATTGGAAGCATTGGGAGTGGAGGGAAATCAATTAGGGCCTTACGGCTGTGCATCTGTTGATCGCGAAGGTGCCGGTACGCCAGATAACACCGTCAGGGATGACGATTTGTTTCTAGGCGCCCCCAACCCCCTAGAGTGTTATATTATGGCACACAAACACCGAAAGCCCTGTTTTGTGAATATAGGGGAGGGGCTAGATAATTTTACGCGAGAGACACAGGAAAAATGTATTGACGCTATTCTTCGCTGGGTTGACGATAGATCACCGTGTGACGCAATTTCAGATGTGGATTTTTCTCGTAGCAAGTTGGTTGCTTCTTTGACGGCGTTAGCGGATGATTCTCATGTTACTACTAATAATCATACTAGTAATACTACTGAGGAGGGTAACGTCGCGGCTGCACCGCCGCTTCACAAGAAACGGCGAGGCTCCTCACAGACACTTGACGGTAGTAATGTCCACTTTGGGCGGCACTGGAAACACTACGCTACACAGCTTCGAGAAGCACATAGATCGGAGCGTGCCGTGGTCAAAAGATTTTGTGCTACAGGTATTGGCAAGGGACTTTCTTTGTGCTCAAAACGGGGAAAAATAGAAAGGGGTCATGCGGTATGTGTCACAACCCCTGGTGCGGTTTGTCTTCAAGGCAACTACAATGACCTGACAAGGGCTAAGGATGCCTTAGCGGGCTGTCAAAGGAACATTACGGGACTGTTGTCAGAACTAGAGAGTACCATTGATGAATATGCGGATCAGTCACAGAAGGTTGCCGAGTGTGAGGAAACTTTTTGGTCGAATGTAAAGCTTGCTGAATTGGAAAGCAAGGCGTTGCTGCATCTGAGCCGTCGTATCAGGTTTGTCGCGGGGTCACATTAGCACGTGTGTCTCTGTGAAAAATAACTGCATTTCCCATTGTTTCCAGAGCGAAAGCATTCCCTGTTTTTTTTTTTTTTTTTTTTTTTTTTTTTTGGTTTATGCGCAGCCTGCATTTTGACGAGCGAGGAATTTGTTTGTTTGTTTGTTTGTGTTGGAAGTTTTATTTAACTTGAGGAAGCCCCAAAGTGGGGCCATCCCATCGCCAGAGCAAGTGATGGCAGAGCGGGCGAAGGCGGAGGGAGCATCCACCTCGGCCAAAATCCCGGGCAACTTGTCAATACGCCTGCGCAGTCATCACAACTGAACTCGCGGCGCAGCAGCTTTTCACGGGGTTTTCATGCACAGCGGATAACCACTTGAATAAAAATTAGTTTTTTTTTTTTGTTGTTGTTGTTTCTTCTTCATTCTCCAGCGAAGGGAGTGTAAAATGAGACACACGGGGACGACGAAGGCGCGAGGGAACGACGAGAATAGAAAAAAAAAAAAAAGGAACCAACGCCACCACTACCACCACCAAAACAGCAGCAAAAGAGAGGGGGGAAAAAAGGGGAATGAAGTGAGAGAGAAAAGAACAGAAAGAAAAAAAGAAAGAGAAAGAAAGAGGGAGAGAGAGGGAGGGTCAATAAAGAGGAAAGAGTGTCTTTTTTTGTGTGTGTGTTTTTGCTTTAATCTTCTTTATTATTGTTGTTGGTGTTTCCATCTGAGGAGGAGGGGGGGACGGGGGTGGAACGGGATGGAGTGCATGCCTTATTTATATGCGTAACAACTGAGCGCTGCGTTTCCTTTTTTTTATTATTATTGATTTCTATTTTGTGGGTGTTCACGCCGCACTGAAGTGTGGCCCCTTTAATTTGACTTCTCGGCAGGTCGTCAATCTTGAGGAGTCCACCCCTTTTCCCCCCTCATTCTTGTTTTTTCCTTTTTATTCTGCTTCCCTGTTCCTCTTTTTTTTTCCTTTTTTTATCTCCCTGTTCGTCCGTCTCCGCCCCAAACTCGCGGCGGCCCATTCCCTGCGGGAGGCAACAGATGCCACCACCACCACCACTGCGACTGTTATGACGATTACGTGTAGTTGTGGGATCTTCACTCCTTGGGCGTCGGCGGAAAACTTTTGTAACGCTGCGGTGGTGTGTTTTTTTTGTGTGAGTGGTGGTGACGTGAGCAAGCGTGCTCTCTTTCTCTTTTTCTTCTCTTTCTATACTAGTGAGGGTAACGTCGCGGCTGCACCGCGCTTCACAAGAAACGGCGAGTCTCACAGACACTTGACGGTAGTAATGTTCACTTTGGGCGGCACTGGAAACACTACGCTACACAGCTTCGAGAAGCACATAGATCGGAGCGTGCCGTGGTCAAGAGATTTTGTGCTACAGGTATTGGCGAGGGACTTTCTTTCTGGTCAAAACGGAGAAAAATAGAAAGGGGTCATGCGGTATGTGTCACAACCCCTGGTGCGGTTTGTCTTCAAGGCAACTACAATGACCTGACAAGGGCTAAGGATGCCTTAGCGGGCTGTCAAAGGGACATCACGGGGCTGTTGTCAGAACTGGAGAGTACCATTGACGAATATGCGGATCAGTCACAGAAGGTTGCCGAGTGTGAGGAAACTTTTTGGTCGAATGTAAAGCTTGCTGAATTGGAAAGCAAGGCGTTGCTGCATCTGAGCCGTCGTATCAGGTTTGTCGCGGGGTCACATTAGCACGTGTGTCTCTGTGAAAAATAACTGCATTTTCCATTGTTTTTAGAGCGAAAACATTCCCTTTTTTTTTTTTTTGGCTTATGCGCAGCCTGCATTTTGACGATCGAGGAATTTGTTTGTTTGTATTTGAAGCGTTTATTTAACTTCCTTTTTTTTGGATATTTTTGACCATTTTTTTTTATTTTAAATTCTTTTGCCGAATAGTGGTGGAGGAATGGTCCAAACGCACACAAAGAGGGAGGAGGCACGTGCCGAGAGGTTGCGGAAACTCCCACAGACAGAGAGACTGAGAAAGAGTGCCCTGATAAAGAAGCGGGAGGGACGAGTTCTCAGTGCGGCAGAAAAACACGCCATGAAGATGACCTCCGAGTACGGGGAGATCATTCGTCTGTGGGAGGTGCTGCGTGTGTCGTCCGATCCTGCGGCGAAGGACGCGGCGGCAAAAAGTGTGGGGCAGCGGCGGGCTGAGCGGTACGAGCACAAGTACCCAACGGTGGATCTTCTGCTTAAACTCATCGAGCCAAATTTTGCGACGTACGTGAAAACACCACGTGTTAGTCGTGTCATACAGTCAATGATTAAGTACGCATCTTTGACCCAGTTGGAACGCATTCTTGTGCTTATTTCAAATCCTTTTGTAACTCACGCTACCGACGCATACGGACATTTTGTTGTAACCGCATTGATTCGCCACGCACCGCATAGCTTTCTGGACAAGTTACTTGCACTCATTATTCCTGCAGTGCCTTCTTTGGTGTCGCATCGATTCGGCATTGAAGTTGTGAATGCAGCCTACAGCAGCCGTCTCTGCACATCCGCCAATCGTCATATTCTTATTCTAGCCGTTCTGAAAGACAAAATTGCCGTAATGAAGCGTTGGAAAGGATATCCCATCTTAGAGGAGGTGCTGCAGCAAGAAGTGACACAACGGAAGCGTCTGCTTTCTAGACTTTTTGGGTTATGCGACACGCTTGTTTCGCAGAAATGTGCTATCGGCTATCCGTTTGTTCAGCGCCTGGTTGCAGCGTACCTCAAACAGGGGGTAAAGGATGATGTGATGGAATTATGTGATACTCTTCGGCCCCACTTGGCGGCATTGTGTGCCACCCGCGAGGGAGCTCCGATTGTGACGACGGTCTTCTTTCTGATCGAACCTAAAAAAAGCAAAGAAGTGCTGCGCGCCCTCTCTGAGAACCTTGGCAGCCTTTTGGTTGACAAGTACGCCGCGCCAATTGTCGCACGCCTTTTTGATCTTGTCTATGACGTGCAACTGTTACGCAAGTATGTTGTTAATGAATTGGAGGCACACCTCGCAGAGGTTATCAACAGCCCCTTTGGACACCAGATTGTGTTGCACCTTCTCACGCCCCATGAGGAACGGAAGCAGAAATTTCTTCTTCCCAACTGGTTCCAACACAATCTATTTTCTATGGAGAACAATGGGTGGAATCATCACACATGGCTTACACATGAGTACGAGGAAGAGACGGTTGAAATACGCTCCAAGGGTGCCATCAGTACGCATCTGGTGGTGTTGCCTTCAATTGTGAGAAAATTTATTGAAATTGCCAGCGATCCCGATAAAGGGCTACGGATAAATAAACACTACGTTGGCCTCATTGCAAGAGAGGTGCTGGTTGTAAATGAGACGGAGGATGCCTACAGGGCGGCACTCCAGTTATCAGAGGAGGAAATAAAAGTACTTACACGCCTGGCGCCTTCAAGGGATCCGAGTAAGCGGTTGCGTGAGGAGGATAGCGGCTGTATGACAGGTCCAACGTCAAATGGAAGTAATGTCAAGGCTCATAAGGCTGATACATCTTCTGGTTTGTTAAAAAAGCTCGCGATTTCTCATGTGGCGCAGGAATCTCACAGTGCCGCATTACATGCCGATAAGAAGGCAAAGGTTGTGGCGAAGGGCAAAAAATTGGGAAAAGGTGCGACGAAGACAACACGCAGAAAGTAAAACTCGGCCCAATTTGTGCGGTGACACCTTAACCACGGGTGCTGAACCTGCACAGACACCTTCTCGCTCCTAGAGCAGCAACAAACGAAAACGAAAAAAAAAAAAAAAAGGTAATGACGGATTAACAAAAAAAAAAAAAAAAAAGGAAGATTGCTACTAAAAGAAAGAAAAAAAAACGGCAGGAGGCAAAGAAGGAGTGAGGTTGGGGGGTGCCGAACAGAGGCGGAGGGATGCGTTCATATTAGCCGATTAATTTGGTTGTCTTATTCTTTTTTTCTTTTTCTGCTGCTTTTGCTTCATTTCTGCCTTATCTCCTTTGGTGCCTTTAAATTTCGTCGCTGTCGGCTTTTTTTTTCTTCTTTTCTTATTTATTATTATTATTATTATTTTTTTTTTAAGAGGCGATGGAGTTTGTCTTGCTGCGATGTCTATTGCTGGCCTGCTGGTGATGAAAAATGTTTTAAGGACTGGAATTTAGCCAAAACGGACAACTAAACTGGGAGAATACATTGGTTCTTGCGGTTTCAGGGAAAGCAATGTGTGGCTGAGGCTGTGTGTCCCCCAGACACACACACCCGGTCCCTGGCTAGCTCAAATACACACAGACGCTAGCTTGTGTTCATGTGTGTGTGTGTGTGTGTGTGTGTGTGTGTGTGGGAAGACGGATGCGACGCATCAGGACCATTGAAAATTTCTTTTGAGGAGTGAACTACAAGTCTGAGGGTGGGATATACGTCAGTATTACTGTTTATTTATTTTTATTTTTAATTTTATTTTTTATTTGCGGCTTTGCTGCGGGTTACGTTTTTTTTCTTTTATTTGGCCATTGAGAATGGGTTTGGGTTGTGTGGGGCTTTGCCTTTTCATCCTTTGTGTGCCGATGAACGACCAGAGAGGGACGGTGAGGGTTTTAGGGGATGTGCGTCATGTCTTTTCTTTCTTATTTCAACGTATTGTTCTTTGCTAGTTTGTTTATTCCAGGAGGAGAAAAATGCCTCTTTTATCTTTTGGTTCTCGTGGCCGGAATGAGTCTTCTGCAGATTGCGACACATTCAGTTTACCCCCACCGGACATGGCGGCTGTGAGGGAACTCGTCGAAAAGGCAAAGTTAAGGGCACGTGCAACGCTCGGCGAGGGGAAGAACAAAGAGGGAGAGAAGAAATTTGTTGATCCGAGTCCGTGTGCATTAAAACACTGTATGAATTCCCTGATGAGACGGCTTGGCTGCACATCTACGCGTTTAATGGATTTTGTACAGGCCTTTGTTGTCACCTTCATTACGGTGTACTTTACTGTGGCAGGGTACCTGCTGTACCGGGGGCCCGTAAGAAATTCTCAGGGCGTCTTATAGAGTTTGTGGCAAGGGTGTACTGCGTAGACATTTGATTGTCTAGCAGATATTATTATGCATGTAGGCTTTCTTTATTCTGTCTCTTTTTGGGTTTTAGAATCCATTTCTTTATTTGTTTCTTTACATTTCAATTTCTTCTCTTAAATAAAATCTTTTAATCGCTTTGTTTATGATGTTTTTTGATGGGCCTTTTATTTATTTCTTTTTGATCTTTTTTTTTTTTTTTTTTTTTTGCTTTCCAGACCACAAGCTAACTTAAGGATTTTTCTCAACGTTACACATGACGCGTCAAGCAGCAACTTCTGAGGAACATGGGATTTTGGCCAAATGCTTCGGTAATGCGGAAGTGTTGTACTCCCGAAAGACGACGGATCGATTGACGGACTTTGCCGGGACGTTTCTTGTCACGTTTTTTGCCATTTATTTTACTGTGGCTGGATACCTGCTGTACCGCGAGGCGGCCCTGTCCACAAATTAGGAAAGAAGGATCATAAGTGATTGCGTGGGTTTTGCAATCGATCCTAGGCGTAGTATGGAAAGAAAGGGAGAGAAAAGGAGAGAGAGAGAGAGAGAGCGATAATTTTATGCGTGTATACATACACACATCATGAGTGTATGTGAATCCTGGTTATAGCCATGGTGTGGGATGGGTTTGTTTTGCTTTTTTTTTATTTTGCCGGTCATGAGTTGTACATTTCCATTTACTTTTCTGTCGTCAATATGTTGCCTAGATAGATAAATAGATACTTACATACATACATAGATATATAGATAGGAAAAAGGGGCACAGTGGTCTTGGACTGATTTTTATTTTTATTTTTATTTATTTTTTGAAATTTAAATTGCGAGCCGTTTTGGTGAGTTTTTGAGTTATTAACGTATTGTGAATTCCGAAGCATTGTTGTAAAAGAGGGATATATATATATTTATTTATTGTGTGTGTGTGTGGATTTGCGTAGCGTCTTTTTTTTTTTTTTTTTTTTTTGTTGGAGGGGAGGACGAAGCGCCTGCACTGCAGCTCTGGACACCTTCGGGCAGTCATGGAAAACACTGACAAACAACGCGGCGTCCATGCATCTGAAACGGAACATGTCTCGTTTGGAGGAGTCATTGGCGTGACGGACTGCGGCGTCCCTGTCTTCTCGAACGGTGAAAAGAAATTTTTCAGCGAAAGAATTTCGTTTGCCCCGGATTGCAAGCGTGTTGAGGCCGCAGCACCTACAACGGTCATTGGCACCCACGACACTCTGGGATACAAGTGGCTCTGTTTGGAATTTGCGCGTCGGTATTTGCTCATGACCAAAGGTGTTTGGCTTGCTTCGGTACCCACGGCGGAGGACATTTGGGAAATTGATGAGATTGTCACTAGCGTACCGATTGGTACACCCGTGCCTGTGGAACGTGAAAAACACGGGGACACCACGAGTATGCCATCGGTTGGGGATTTGTTAGTATGGAGCCGCACCGAAGATTCCCCGTATGGGCATTTGGCTGTTGTGACCCATGTTTCAGACAATGGGGTTTGCGTTGCGGAGCAGAATTATGAGTTTAAACGCTGGCAGGAGGGAAAAAACTACAGTCGACGATTTGACTGTGAGAAAAGAGAAGATGGGGTGACCGTGTTTGTTGGTGAAACCCACCTGCTCGGTTGGGTAATTATAAAAGCACCGCCGTACGACTTTTCCTTGGGTGATCTGCCAGACAAATATCGGCATATCATTGGTCCTGGCCATATTGTTAGACGTCACTTGGAGAAGGACGTCTTGTTACCATGGTTAAATCCTTCTCAACGCTGCGACTTCTTTCTAAAAAGATCACTGACCGTTGGCGGGTATATGGGGGAGGATGCCGTGGCGGAGGCGCATAGCGTCCCTGATGGATTTTATATGATGGATTACGATATGTGGTGCCGTTTTCGGTTTGCCACCAAGAATTTGCATGCAGTTGCAGTGGAGGCGACCCGTCTTATTTTAAACAGCCGGGATTCAGAGGCCCTTTTAGTTCAGTATTTTGGCCTTCCGAAAGAGCTACATCTGCAGCTTCGCCGGTCCTTTGAGACGATTCCTTCCATGTGTGGTCGATTTGACTTTGGCTACGACGGCAAGGAGATCATTATGCTTGCATACAACTGCGATTCCTCAGCAGCCATGCTGGAATGTGGTGATACGCAAGAAAAGTTTGCGCGTCATTATGGGGTGGAATTGGGCACTTCCACCGGGTCTTTTCTCTATAGCAGGATTGCAAACTACTTTAATTGTTTGATCCAAAATGAATTCTTATGTCCCCACCACAAAATTGTTCACTTTATGATTGATGACGATGATGAAGAGCGGTACACGGCGTTGTATGTGATGAATGCCGCAGAGTCTGCGGGTTTTAGGACAAAGTTGTGCGTCAAATTATCGGGTTTCCGTTTCGGGAGCACCACTGGCGAGGTTGACCGGGATGCCTCACCAACGGAACGTCGGTCCGTTGTGGATCTCGAGAACGAGGAGGTCCTTTTGGTTTGGAAAACTTGGGCGTGGGACACGGTGCTGCGGCAATACGTGGAGCAGCGAACACAGCAGGGACACGGCGTGTCCACAAAACCGACGTTGTCTGATATTCTTCTGAATGAACACATACGTGTGTTGGAGCCTCTTTGGAAAGCTGTGACAGGCAGCAAGGCCATCCTCCCATTCATGTACGCCGCAGCCCCCCATCATTCCAACATGGTCCCCGCAAGTTTTTATCGTACAAAAGAAATTATATCAGCTCCGTATTTAACAAAACCCGTGAATGGACGTTCTGGGAAAAGTATGACAATGTACGACACGGGGGAAGATCCTGAGGCTGTTGCCGCCGCTCCTCATACCGCCGCTGCGCCGGTTCTTGGTAGGTCAATTTCCGCAGTTTTATTTGATGACGCACCGGCAGGAACGTATCGCGTGCCTTTTGACAACATCCAGGAAAACTTGACGGAGAGGCTTTTTGACTCGGTCGTCGTTTACCAAAGCCGTGTCTTTCTCACACGTTACGAAAAGAAGTACTCCCCTATTTTTTGCGGCTGGAATGTGGGAGGGGAGTTTGGAGGCGTTATTGTTCGCGAGGAGAATTTCAATAATACGAAACTTTCAAGCCTTGTCATACCGTCGCGTGTGGTGCGGCAGCACATTCCACTGCATGCCATGCAGGAGAGCACGACATCTGGAGAAGTGTGATACCCCTCCACTTATTTATTTATTTATTTATTTATTTTTTTGCGTCACTTGTTTGCTGCCTGATTGAGGCCTAAGTTGTGCGAAACATATTGAACTTTGCCGACATACGGAACAGGAAAATCCCTTTTCCAGCAACGCCGGGCGGCAACTTGAGTGGGGAAGATGGTTTGCAGCTTGTGAGAAATCTCCGTTCAGATATGCTGCCAATGATGATGTACGTTGACACGTGGCCGACGCTGTTCCTGTACGCCTTTATGGAGTACTTTGTTTTTTGATTGCTGCCGTTTGGATCGGCGTTCAGTCACAGCGCGGCGATGCCTCTGGGAAGGAAGATGCGATGACCACGTGGGCAACATCTGTGAGCCTTGCCTACACGGCGAAGGTCGGCTACCTCGTGTTCCTGGTGTGGCGCATCCCCATTCAGCTGGTTGATGTGGTGGATTTTCTCTTTCTTCTTTGGTTGGTGCGGGGCTTCAGCATCACGGCCAGCAGTCATCCCAGTCGGTTCCTGGCCATTGCTGCAGTGGTTGTTTCTTTGCTCTCGCGGGTTCTTTTCCGTCACCTCACAGCATGGAGCCCAAAAGTCATATTTTGATCTTTTTTTTCTCTCTCTCTCTCTCTCTCTCTGTGTGTGTGTGTGTGTGTGTGTGTGTGTGTGTGTGTGTGTGTGTGATGTTTAATCATTATTATCACTTCTTTTTTAGTTGTGGGTTTCAAAAAAAATATTTATTATTATTATTATTGTTATTAAAATAGTGTGCATCCATTACACTGCATCTACAGTGTTGTTTCCCTCTCTCACTCTTCTTTTCTTTCTGTCTGTCTTTGACCCTCCTGTGTGTGCATGCAACAAACGCACAGCGCAGCATTCAAGGTGATATTCTTTCAATGGAGGCGAAAGCCGTTTCTGCTCCCACCAAACCACGACGCCGTCCTCGCAGCTCCCCGCAACAATGCGGGTGGACGGCAACACGGTGCAGTTCAATTGCCCCCAGCCCCTCAGGGATGCCGGATTTGCGGTTGCTGAGGCCTTGTTTGACGTCGATGTGGCGTTGGACGGGCCGGACGCAAGTACACTCTTCCGAAAATTGTGTGCCACTGCCGCCGCCAACTTTACTCAGGAACGCAAGAACATGGTGGCCTTCAGCTACGGCGTGCGCTCGTCACCAAAGCGACAACTCATGTACGGCTCTGCAGCTGGAGAAGGATATGACTGCTTGAGTCATCACTGAATTTATTCGGCTGGGCGCCAAAAAGGGCATTTTTGTCCTCTCATGCCACGTCATTGGGTCAACAGAGCACCGCGCAGACCTTCTTGACGCCGACAAGGAGCTCGGAGTTATTGTGGGCTCCGTGAAGGAGGGACCTCGTGTGCGAATGGTGGCGCGAATTCGTGTCTCATTGGCCGGCGACGCTCGAGCGGCGATGGACACTATCGTCAAAAACTATGAGAAATAGCTTTTTCCCCGTGCTGTGTGAAAGGCAGCCAACGCCTGAGCTGGAGGCAATGCCTTCGTATTTGCCCGACACTGTCGTCCTTCAGCTTCACCGCCATGATGGTGAGGCGGAGTTTGCAGATTACATGGATGCAAACTCCCTGACATTTGTCGCCTTGGGAGATGCCGAACGGCCCGCTTTGTGTGGCATTGATGCCACCGCGCAGCTACACTACGAAGGGGCCCAACGAGCACTGGTGTCGGCAGCAGGAATTGTCTCCGGCATTCGCCGCCGTCGTCTGCGTATTCCCTTCGGCATGTCAGAACTCAGTGAGTTGTTGCGCCGAGCGTACAACACGGAAAAAGGCAACCGCAACAATAGCCTCACTGGTTCTACCGAGACGGTTTTATTGGCTCACGCCTTTTCGGATGCCGTGTGGGCGGAGGAATCGTTCCATTCTCTCTCCACGACTTGTCGTGTTGGCAATGTTGTCTCGACCGGGATTGGATCCGCCACAAGGGATCTTGCCGTTGACAAGTGGCGTCTTGATCAGGACATCATGGAGTTGCGGGATGAACTCATGATTGCCCGGACCGTGTACGACCACAGGCATTGTGGCTATGAATCCAACAGGCCATTTCAGACATGGAGGAGGAAGGGATGAAGCGCGTCAACGCCATTGAGAGCAACCGTGAGGAGGCGCGGGAACGGCAGCTGAGTGTGTTTTGCGAGCGCGCCAGGCATGAGGCGGAGATGGCCAAAGAGCTTGAGCAGGGAGGTGGGGCCACGTTGGATGAAATTGGGAGGACTCTGGAGGCGAAAAGCGGGAGAGCAGTGCTCTGCAGGCTGACCGCGAAAGCCGCATTTGGGAGTACGAGCATACGCTGGAGAAGATCCGAAGGAGGAAACAGGACGAGGAGAGTGCCTCGGAGAGGTTGCGGCAGGCGATGCAGCAGCCGGAGCAAGAACTCAGCCTACGGCAGAGCGCCATTGAGACGAGGGAGCAGCAGCTCGAGATGGTTCAACTTGACGGGGCGAGGGGGCGAGAGGCCATCATGCGGGAGCGGCATTCTATTGAGGCGGTGCGAAGGACCGTCCGGGAGGAGCGGTGTCGCCAGCGGAGGCAGTGGATCCATCAGATTAAGGAAATGAGTGCAAAAGTCCTGGAACCGGTGCGTCTCTTGGCCGAGGAGCGGAAGAAGAAGTGCGAGCAGGCGACAGCCAAGGAGGACGTCGCCGAGAGGGCTCTTGCTGCCGACATCAAAATGATCGAGGAGTATTTGCCGAAGCTTATTTCCCTTGAAGACATTCCTGTGAACCCGGAGGAGACGGACACCATTCGACGCCAGTTTGACGAGGTCTTCACGCAAGGAGAACAGACATACTTGGCCAGCGCTGAAGAGGAACAGGCCCGCAAGGAGAGGCTGGGACGAGGACTCGAGGTGTATCGACAGCGTATGCTTGATGACTACGTGGCAAAGGAAAATGGAAAACTGCATGATGCCGAGACAACGGAACGCCACCTCAGTTCTGTTGTGGATCAGGCGCTGAATTACTTACGCAACGGGGTCCGCGTGGCAAAGACACCAAGCAAGGGCAATGCTTGCAGACGCCTATATTTTCTCTCGGAGGACTGCAAACGTATTCATTCCTTTGATCTGGACCATCAGGGATTCCCGTTAAATCGCAAACGGCCTCCAGTCACCATTTGGATACGTGACATCGAAAAAGTTCTCATCGGCCCGTCCAGAGCCTCATTTGAGAAGTACAGCGGCGAGGCACAGCTGGCAAAAACACGCCAGGAGGCAGTTTTTGACAATGGGACGCACCGCCATGATCCCACGCAAAACATCACTCCGTCCAGCCCTGGAACAGACAACCGCCGCGCATTCGCACTTTTGCTTCGCGGTGGGAAATCACTGGAGGTAGTTTGTGAGACTGACAGCGACTGCGAGGCCTGGCTTGTTGCTCTCAGGCGTCTACTGCATTTGAGGACTCCTGCGGAAAGGCTTCTTGAGGAACGACGGGGTACGTGAAGAGACGCACGTGCGCGGCCGAGCGATAATGACGTGGAAATGCGGTGGGGTGGCCCACCTGACATTCGCAATATGGAGGATTTGTTTTGTTGGCCCCCGATGCAGCAGCTCTTTGCGGCGAGGATCACATTCCGCCAGCCCTCTTCCTTCGGGTGGAACAGGAGCCGGCTGAAAAGCCTGAAAGGAGCACAATAACCGCCTGTGGCGTCCGAGTTTGCTCGGGCCTGGATCTCTTTTGCTCTGGCCGACTTTACGACTAATTGTGCGAAAAGCGTGTCGTTCCTCCTCCGTACTAATGCCGTGGGATCTTTTATTGTTTCTCTCTTTTTTTTTCCCATGGCTATTTGTGGTTTTCTTGTGTGCTCTTTTAGATGTATTGAGGCGGCTGGTTGGAGAGAGGCTAACTGCCGCACAATCTTGTGTGAAAAGGACTTTTGAACCCCACGTGTTTGGGTTATTAGCGAGTAAAGGGAAGAAAAAAGGAAATGATGGTCACCACCAGTACTACTGCTGCTGCTTTTTTCCTGTTCTTTGCTGCCGCTTTTAAGTGGGCTATTCATCATTTCTTGTGGGTGTTCCACACCCTTCTTCTCTTTCCTCTGATTCTGGATGCGTGTTTTTAGCACCGCCGTTGTGGGGCCATTGCTTTGCCAACATGCATACGGGGGTGGTGCTCCTTCCCATAGATGTGCCGTGAAAAAATATTAACATATTTTCAAATGCGCCGTGTGCTTCTCTGTGTGCGTGTAATGTGGGGCTTAGGCCTCACCCAGGCAGGGGCAATGACACCTTTGCACCATTGCGAGGCGGCCGTCGAGGCGGTGCACTAGCACAGCAAACTGTGCGTTCCATATCACGCAGAGTATTTGCTACTGTGGGAATCGAACACTTATTTTTTGGTGAAACTACCAGGGCTTATCCACTGGGTGCGGTGCGTTGATTCGGCAAAGGGGACAGAAGGACGTCCTCTATGAGGTGTGCCTGTGGAGGGAGAACTGAACTGCTACCTTGGTGACTATAAAATATTGGCATTTATCTGAAACGAGAGGGCGCATCGCTGTGCATGACGAGACTTTATTCATACGGCCGTGATGCGGCGGGTGGAGGAGGCCAACGGGCATGGGCAATACGAGAGCGATGCCATTGTTGCCTGTTGAGATGATTTGAGCAGTGACGATGATAATGATGGGGCGAACACTCTCAGGTAGAAACGCTCTTCTCGCTGTCAAGGTACTAAAGTTGCATGGTAATGTGCCGCAGGTTGACCGGAGCTCTTTTTGTGAGGTTTTCCGACACGTCGGTGGAGCTGCTCGGCGTTCTCCAAAAGGGTGTTCTGTTCTGCACAGATGTGGCTGCCCGAGGATTGTATCCGCCACGGGCGGACTGAAGTGTGCACGACGATCCTCCGACAGATCCAGCGTGTTGTATTCACCGCACTGGACGGTCAATCCCGCATTGGCAACGTTGGGGACTCTCTGCTGTTCCTCATGCCACACGAGGCAGGATGCATCCCATGCGTGAGGACCC